TGCAGTGGATGACACTGGCCCTGGGCTCTTTGCTGCTGCCTTTGTCACAGTGTGCTCTCACCCAGAAAGCTTTCATAACAAAGTGGCCTTGTAGTGGCCTTGGAGCTAGCAGTCTTGCAGGATGGTGCATCTGAGAATACCACCTTTGGCCTGGGACCCTAGGATCTGAGGACAAGATTTGAGAATTTAGATGTTACAGAGGACCCATTTTTCCCATGGGTCTTGTGTCCAGGAAGCCAGTGGTTTGGGGTTCACAGGGTGTCATGGTCTCTCTCTGGTTGTAGGAGACGCGACTTGGGAAGCTCATCAACGACGTCCGCAAGAAGACCAAGAATGAGGAGCTCGCCAAGCGGGCCAAGAAGCTGCTGCGGAGCTGGCAGAAGCTCATCGAGCCTGTGCACCAGAATGAGGCGGCGCTGCGGGGGCTGGCAGGTGCCCCTGGCTCCGCTAATGGGGGTGCCCACAACTGCCGGCCAGAGGTGGGGGTGGCTGGTGCACCCAAGAGCATCCATGACCTGAAGAACCGCAACGACATCCAGAGACTACCCGGGCAGCGGCTGGACAGGCTGGGCAGTCGCAAGCGCCGGGGGGATCAGCGTGACCTTGGCCATCCTGGGCCACCTCCCAAGGTCTCCAAAGCAAGCCATGACTCCCTGGTCCCCAACTCATCACCTCTCCCCACCAATGGGATAGGTGGAAGCCCCGAGAGCTTCCTGGGCGCCCTGGACAGCAGCAGGCACATGGGCCCGGAGGGTAGCCGCCTGGAGCAGGGCGAAAATGACAAGCACAGCGGCAAGATCCCCATTAATGCCGTGAGGCCGCACACCAGCTCCCCAGGCCTGGGCAAGCCCCCTGGGCCCTGCTTGCAGAGCAAGGCTGCAGTGCTGCAGCAGCTGGACAGGGCAGACGAGACTCCAGGACCCCCCCACCCCAAGGGACTGCCTCGCTGCTCCTTCAGTCCCCGGAACTCACGGCACGAGGGCTCCTTTGCCCGGCAGCGGAGCCCGTACACACCCAAGGGCTCTGTGCCCAGCCCCTTGCCTCGGCCCCAGTCGCTAGATGTCACGCAGGTGCCGTCACCGCTGCCACTGGCCCAGCCATCCACACCCCCTGTGCGGCGGCTCGAGCTGTTGCCCAGTGCCGCTGAGAGCCCTGTGCACTGGCTGGATCAGCCTGAGGGCCACCAGCGGCTGTCTGGGCCAGGCTGCAAGGCGGGGCTGCCACCGGCTGAGCCCGTCCTGCCCCGGGCTGGCTTTTCCCCGGACTCCTCCAGGGCAGACAGTGACGCGGCCTCCCCTGGTGGCTCGGACAGCAAAAAGAAGAAGAGGTACCGGCCTCGTGACTACACCGTGAACTTGGATGGCCAAGTGGCTGAGGCAGGCGTCAAGCCTGTCCGGTTAAAAGAGCGGAAGCTCACCTTTGACCCCATGACAAGACAGATCAGACCTCTGACCCAGAAAGAGCCAGTGCGGGCTGACAGCCCTGTGCACACGGAGCAGCCCAGGACAGAGCTGGACAAACCCGAGGCCAAGGCCAGCCTCCAAAGCCCCTTTGAGCAGACGAACTGGAAGGAGCTATCACGCAATGAGATCATTCAGTCCTACCTAAGCCGACAGAGCAGCCTGCTCTCTTCATCGGGCGCGCAGACCCCGGGGGCCCACCACTTCATGTCCGAGTACCTGAAGCAGGAGGAGAGCACCCGGCGTGGGGCCAGGACGCCACATGTGCTACTGCCTCCAGGCTCGCCCACTGACCTCCCAGGGCTGAGCCGCCAGGTCACACAGGACGATCTGGACAGAATCCAGGCCCACCAGTGGCCGGGGGTGAACGGGTGTCAGGACACACAGGGTAACTGGTATGACTGGACGCAGTGCATATCGCTCGACCCGCACGGTGACGACGGGCGGTTGAACATTCTGCCTTATGTCTGCTTAGACTGACTGGCCCCTCAGCCTCTAAGTGCATTCCCACCTTGCAGTTAGCAGGAGGGCGGCCGGGCCTGGAAGCCTCCACTGGTTTGGAGCCCAGCCGAGGCAGAAGGGAGGGGCAGGGGTCTAGAGGTCTCTCCGAGCTCTTCCCTCAAAATTTTCCTTCTTTTGTGAAATGCTGCTACCAGTTTACTAACAATATTACAAAGGAAGGACCGCGTGGAAGGAAGGCCGGCAAAGCGAGTTCAGAACTCTATAGCAAGCCAGCTATAAAAAGCGTCAGTCCCCCACCCCAGAAGAGGTGTGGGCATGTCCCAGCAACCATGCGCTGGGACCTCAGTTGCAGGCAGGCACAGAAATCCTGTGGGAGACATTACCTTTAAAACAGCAACAGAAGCACGCATCTCATCTATCTGCATTTTCTGTTCTCTAATTTGGCCCTGAGTGTCTGAGGCAGTGGGCAGTCGCATGGTCTCTGCGCCCCACCCGGCCAGTGTTTCTGCCCTGGTGCCAGAAGCCTCTCAGATATAGTGAGGTGCTGGCATCAGGCGGGCCTCCTGGCCAGCCGGTTTGACCCACACTCCATGGGCATCCACACATTAGTATCTGTTTTCAGTTCAAACCCAGTTTTTAAAGAAATGCTGCAAACGTTTAAGTTTTCTAGAGTTTATTTGATCTTCCTCTTCCATCTCACCACCAGCCAATTTTCCTTTCTTCTTTTTCATTTTCTCTTTCCTGCACACATCTAGAAAACTTCACCTTTCTAGAGTCCCATCCCCAAAACACAAAAGTTCCTGCAGGTGCTACTGGTGTGTAAAGCTGTACTTTTGGCAAGGAGACCTGTCTGTGCGCTGGAAACACTCATGACCATTCCTTTAGATTCGTTTGCCTTATGGTTATTGTCATAACGCGATTTGCAAAAACAAGGAGCCTTAGTGAATGTACAGTACCTAGACTTCTGTGTTCTCAGGATGCAGAAGGGAGCAACTTTGCTATATGGTCCAGTAAGTGGACACCTTGTGATATAAATGTGGAAATAAAAAAAAAAAAAACATTTGCACAAACCAGTCTGAGAATCATTTATAATTTGGTCCTTTATAGCCAAATCAGCCCTTGCTGGGTTCTGGATGAGCCAAGAAAACCTTGACCCTGTGTCCACATTTTGGGCCCCACAGCAAGTCTGCAGGGAGGTGGGCAGTCAAGCCTGTTAGCGGTCTTCATGAACACTGACTGCCTACCTTTTATTATAGGCGATGTGATTCCTCCCAACTCAAGAGTCACCTACTAACTATGGGTGACAGAGGCCAAGGGTGCACATCAAGGAATGTTATCCTATCTCCAAGCAGGCTGTGTAACCTGTTTTACCCCCTAAAATATTTGTAGTTTTTACATGGCATGGCACAGAGCCATGACAAGCAGCTTACATCTTGGCCCTGGCCCCAGGGAGCCAACTCCCCATGCAGGCCTGAGGTTTAGATCTGGTTGGTGCTGCCATTTTTTTTTTTTTTTTTTAAGTTAAAATCTTTTCTCCCTTGACTATAGTGATAACTTAATTCTCCACCCTTGTCCCTGGAGCCATAAGCTGACTTTGTTTTCTAGTTTTTTCACTCCAGAATAAGTCATCTTGGACATACCTTCTTAATCTCACAGATAAGGAAGCAGCTACCCCTTAAAGACAGGCAACCCCACCGGATGAACCAAGAGATCCAGGCACACTGGGTCAATCCAGAACAACAGTTGCAGAGCCAGTGGTGATAACTGATATGGCCTTTATGCAGGGCACACCCTCCCCAAAAAGGACAGTGGATGAAGTGGCTTTGAGGACAGTCTGAGGCTGAACTCCAGCCCCTGCCATCTACCAGCTGTGAGGCTCGTTTTACTCCTTGTGTGTATGTCCCCATTTGGGAGATTCAAGTGCTTACTCCAGAGTACTGGACTAAATTACCAGTTTTTTAAAAAGCACATCAGTGGAACAATCTGTGCTGTGGAGTAACTACTTTATTAGCTCCACTGTGCCTTTATTTTCACCCTTAATGTGGCCAGCCCTGCTGCAGTGCTGGTGTCTGAGCAAGTGACATTACTCTGAGAAAGGATGGTCTGCACAGCTGGGAGTCATTAGGATGCAGGTTGGTGTCCAATGATTATCTCCTTTCCTCACACCTGGGCTTGGGGAGGTCCCTGCTGTCTGTCCCACTGCAGGGACCACCTCTCCTGCCTGACTGTCCATTAAGTCGCAGGGTAGGTATTGATTACCTTTGAGAACCCAAGTTTAAGCTAAGGTTTCCCTTCAACATTTTGGAGATGGATGGATTGCCACTTTTTAGTTTGCCAAGGACATTATAAATTTAAAACCCTTTTCCCCAGAAGTTTTTAGTACATGATTTTTGGGGCAAATGAGAGTCCTTTAAGTACTAAACGATCATCTTGAAAACACCGCCTTGTTTTCCTCCGCTGACGCCCATCAGCAGTCGGGACGCAGCACTCTTCTCCCTCACAGAACCCTGGAGATGAGAGCCAGAGGAGGCTGTCACGCCTGGGCTTCGGTCTGTCCGTGTGTGAAACGGCGAGGGTCATACCTATTGCACAGAGCACGTCGCGGCAGTTCCCAGGACGTGCTCCCGAGGACCGGCCACAGGAGTCCGCTCCTAGTTTGCAGAAAGGATTTAGCTTTTCACAATTTGGTCTTTCACCCTCTTCCGCCGCTGCCCGCCCCTCGGGAATCTTGTTGAGGGCGCCGGTATAGTGCGGATGTCGAGGCGTCGCCCGCGAGCTAAACGGTCGGCTCATACACTCCGACGCGGCGAGACACTCACGCGGCCACCTATTCCTCTCAGGCTCCGGTTCCCGGTCTCACTGCCAGCCTACCGCTGTGCAGCCTCGCTCGATTCCTGGCCCATCTCTCCTCCTTCCGTTTCCGGGGTAGGTCCCGCCCCCCACCGGAAGCCCACTCGTGGAGAGGCGGGACCTGCGCTCGCTACGTGTTGGCGGGCGCGGCGTTGACGGGAGGCGGCGGCCAATGGGGAGCGGCGTTGGCTGGCGTGCCCCCCCCGTCCCCGCCCCAGCTCCGGGTCCGGCCGTCGAACGGGCGGGAAGGGGTGGCGGCAGGGGTAGGATGGCGGCGGCGCCGGGCGCAGGGGTCCCCGGCTCGTCGGGCGGCGGCGGCGGGGCGCGTGAGGGCGCACGGGTGGCGGCCCTGTGCCTGCTGTGGTACGCGCTGAGCGCTGGCGGGAACGTAGTCAACAAGGTGATCCTGAGCGCCTTCCCGTTCCCCGTGACCGTGTCTCTGTGCCACATCCTGGCGCTGTGCGCGGGACTTCCACCGCTGCTGCGCGCTTGGCGCGTACCCCCTGCGCCACCCGTCTCGGGCTCCGGGCCCGGCCCACAGCCATCTCCCGGCCCTCTGCTGCCGCCGCGCTTCTACCCGCGCTACGTGCTGCCGCTGGCCTTCGGCAAGTACTTCGCGTCAGTGTCGGCGCACGTCAGCATCTGGAAGGTGCCAGTATCCTATGCGCACACCGGTGGGTGCCGCGACCGGCCGTGGGGCGGTGTCCCACCTGGAACGCTGGGCTGGGAGCCCCCAGGCTGTTAGCGGGGGAGGGACCTAGCACGGGTATCTCAGGTAGGGGTGGGCCTGAGAGAGGAGCTGAGAGCCTAGCGGGCCGGACCGCAACTCTTGGATTAGTGGGAAGCCGTACAGAAAGAGAAGGGCTGAAGAGGTTTGAGGGGCTGCCAAGCTATTCCAATCCTCGGAGGCTTGGGGACAGGCTCCCAGGGTGGATCCCGGGTCTCGGGCGGCCGCCTTAGCGCCCCCTGCTTCTCTTGCAGTCAAGGCCACCATGCCCATCTGGGTGGTCCTCCTGTCCCGGATCATCATGAAAGAGAAGCAGAGCACAAAGGTAACAGTGGAGGGCTCTGGGCAGGTGGGGACTCCAAGGGCTTCCTGGAAGTTGCCCAGCTGGTGACGTGGTCCAGGATCCTGGCTTCCTGTCAAATAAGGAAGTTAGCTTAGATGCCTCTGGTGGCCCTTTTGCTGCTAATGTTCTCAAATCACTCTGGGGGCAGCAGTGTGTGGGGTGTGTGTTCCTGAGTTGTCTCTCCTATGTGGTTTCATAGACGCCGCCCTCTGTCTCTGGTCCCGTTTTCCTCCTTGTTTTGATTCCCTACCCAGTGTCTGCTAGAGGATGACTTGGTCCCATCTTAGCCAGGCACTCATTCTACTCCAGTGGGACCCAGGATGGAATATCTGACTTTGTGCTGGAATGGTGTTTCATTTCTTTGCAAGAGACAGAGTGGTCAGGTTAGAGGTTTCTGGGGTCAGAAGTGAGATGCTAGTCAAAGGAGTGTAATTTTCGCCAAATTCATCAAAATCTCCGAAGTAAGAGCAGGCAAGAATTGAGAATGGGAGTTAAATTTAACACAAAGAATCCAGGACTGCATAAGGAAGATGCTTTGGGCACAATCCAGGGTCTGTTCAATATGCCAAGCCAGGGTATTTCCTGGCTTGGGGCGAGAGAGGCTGCGGCTTTAGCCAGAGACAGCCTTGCCCATGTCTTTACGTGAAAGTAGGACTCCTGTTGTCCCAGCTGGAATCCATTTCATGCTGGACAGAGCTCCTTTTTTCTTCGTGGTTGGTTTCTGGTATCCTGTATTTTATGTAACTCAGAGCAGCAGTGCCCTGGATCAGCTTATAGAAACTGGGCCGCCTCTGGCTGATTTTTCATTTCAGCCTTTTCCCCGGTAAAACCTGGGTGTGCTCTGCTGCCTGCCTCCAAGATTAAGTCAGATGTGACTTGTCTCCTGAGTTGGAATTGCCCGGGAGGTGTGCAGCTGCATCACTCGATATCACAGCATGTTTATCAGGTTTCCTCGTTGTACAGGACATTGGACCCAGCTTGGGCAAGGAGCTGGAAACTTCACCCAATGAGGAAGCAGTAGGGAATGACTTGGGCAGGAGTCTAATAATGATGGAATAAGTATGGATCCACCCTGTGAGGAAGATAAGGCAGGTCATTCCAGATCTCAGGGGAAGAAATTGGAGTTGTAAAGGGAGAGTCAGTGACTGAGGGCCATGGCCAGTAGTGGGGAAGCTGGAATTCAGAGCCCTTGCTCTGCCTTGGGGCGAGGAGTGGGAGGGCCTCACCACCCCCTCTTAAAATCTCCACAGTATTTTAAGCATGTGCTTTGTAAGAGAGAGATGAGCTGGGAGTCAGAAGAGCTAAACGTCAGGAACGGATTCCATTTCTCTGGAAATTGGGAGCCATTTAGCCAGCAGAGCTCAGGAGCCATTCCATGCACCAGGCCCGGGAAAGCTTGGACCCGTGGAAGGCCTCCTACTGCTGCACGTTACTCATTCAGCCAGCAGTTACTAGGTGCCTGCTGTGTGCTGGCCACCAGGACAGAGCGATGAACAAGAACCTGCCCTAAAGGAGTGCAGGTTTGCAGACAGTGTAACATAGACTTACAGAGGTGGCGATCTCTGCGCCCAGGAACACCCAACAGAGGAACCTGACAGGGTAGAGGGGTGCAGGAAGGTGAGTGGGGAAGGTTCTCCTCTTGAATGGTGTGTGAACTGAGGCCTGAAGGGGAAGGAGTTCTCCAGCTAGAGAAGGCGTCTGGGGGAGCGTTCCAGCCAGGGGTAAATGCATGTTGGAAAAGAGACCCTGCCAGCCTCCTGGAGGATCGGGGTTTCAAACCCTGGTGTGTTGGTGGCGGCAGCTGACTAGATCTGTGAAGAGTAGCCCCAGTTTGTGGCCCTGAGCAGGGGCTGTTAAGGGGAGTAGAATGGGGAAGTATAAGGAGTAGAGCTGCCCACAGTGCACTCTGCCCCAGGCACTCTGATAACCATCTGCCTTCCCCTACCCCCCAGAGGGTTTCTGTCACAAGTAAAACTTGTCCAAAGGTTTAGGTCGAGTCTCTTTGGTGAGGGAGGACAAAACGGAGGCTTTCCCCTGGGCGTCTGTGTCGGGAAGCCCGGGTCGGCTCCAGCCCATCAGCCCTTCCTACCCTCCTCCCGCAGGTGTACTTGTCCCTCATCCCCATCATCAGCGGCGTCCTGCTGGCCACTGTCACGGAGTTGTCGTTTGACATGTGGGGGCTCATCAGTGCTCTTGCTGCCACACTGTGCTTCTCGCTTCAGAACATTTTCTCCAAAAAGGTATTTAGGCACCGTCTGTGGTATGCTTCGTGTTTTGGGGGTGTGCGGGTGGCATTTGAAAAAGTGGCCAAGTAGGGATTTCTTTGGTGTTGGAGAACAAAAAATTCTGTTGTCCTTCTGCTGGCTTTCTATTTGTTGTTTAATTTTCTAAAAGAGATTATGGCGTTTTCATTATTTATTTATTTATTTTTAGAGAGAGGGGACGGGAGGGAGGAGAGGGAGGAAAACATCGATGAGTTACCTCTCATATGCACCCTGACCAGGGACCGAACCCACAACCCAGGCATGTGCCCTTACTGGGAACCGAACCTGCAGCCTTTCGTTTTGCCGGGACAATGCCCAACCAAGCCACACCAGCCAGGGCGGCTTTTTAATTAATTAATTTATTTATTTACTTACTTACTTATTTATTTTCAAATACAAGCAAAATTTATTTAGAAAGTCACATAGGTAGAAAAAGTGAACCAGCTGGGTTGCATGAGCTCAGGAAACAACTTACAGAGGCAAAAGCAGGGCCCCTGGAGCTTAGGAGAGAGGGAGAGAGCAAAGGTACTTGCCATGAGGGAAGAAGAGGGGAAAGATATGGGTGTGCGTCAGAGAGGACCAGGGAGAGAGACCTTGCGTGTGAAGCCCCCCGCCCCCCGCATGGGGTGGGGAAAGGTAGGGTGTGAGAGAGAGCACACCAAGAGATTGTTTTTATTATACAATTAGCATATGCTCATTGTAAAAAAAAAGAGAAAAGCTCAATGAAAAAAATCAGAACTGAGCACCTTCTATGTGCTAGATACTGTAGTAGGTGCTAGAGATTAAGAATGAAGAGACTGGCCCACCTGCCCAGTGGTTTCCAGGCTATTGAATGAAGTCCCATTACCGTCCCCTAAAGAGAACTATTAATGCTAGGGATATTCTCTGTACAGTTTTTAGAGTCGTAATACACATACATTTTAGAATTTTGCTTTGTTCGTTTATTGTTGAAACATCACATTCTCCCATATCATTAAAAATCATGGCTGTTAACTTCTGTAACAACCACACTCTTTTCAGGTACCACAATTAATGCAAACACAGGTTATTTCCAGCTATCCATTATAAGTAATGCAATAATTAAGAATGTTTTTCTCTCAGGTTACTTCCTTATGATTGGCTCTTGGGTCAGAAGATATGAGGTTTTCACGGCTCTCGATATACTTTGCCTGGTTGTATTCTGAAACAGTGCCATACCAATTTAGTGGATGTCAGAGTGCCTGTTTAATTGCAGCTTCACCATCATTGAGTGTTGCTGGGGTTTTTTGTTTGTTTTCTTTACTAGGTCTTTCGTGCATAAAACACTATGTTTGTTTCAGGCGTGAGCTGTGTGTCTCATCAAACGCACACTCTCAGGTTTGGCAGTCAGGGTCAGATGTCAGTGTTAATGTGTAGTCACTGTGTTTGGAACCTGGGTAACTGGAGTCCTTCTTGACACTTATGGAGTTGATTGGCCCTTAACGAGATTTTCTCTCTTCAGGTATTGAGAGACTCACGGATCCACCATCTCCGGCTGCTGAACATCTTGGGCTGCCACGCTGTCTTCTTTATGATCCCTACATGGGTCCTGGTGGACCTCTCTGCTTTCCTGGTTAGCAGTGACCTGGTGAGTTGGCCAGGACCAAGAACACACCCTTTTCTTGACTGATTCCAGAGTAGGTGCTTTGTCAGAGAGTTACGTGTTGACTTTGGGGCATTTAGGGCCTGTGATGGCCCGATCTTTGAATATGCAGCTCTCTGTCGTGACTCAGGTTGTGAGCAGTCGAGGAAGTCAAGTCAGCTTCCTTTGCATTTCTTTCTCTAGCATGGTAGATCCCAGCTGCTGTTAGCAGTCACATTTGTACCAGTGGTATGAAAGAAAACAAAACTGCCAGCATCGGGGACTTTTCTGTCCTGATAACTTGTTTTAGATGTCACTTTGACTCTTTAAAACTGTGCTCATTTCCTTTCTTGGTGTTATTTCTGTACATATTTCCGTGTACTCCAGTTGTGGCTATAGCTCTCTGAGCACAGGAAATAACGTCTTCCAACCACCTCTGCCAGGCCAGACTCTAGACAGTACCCTTGAAACTAATGCAGGTGACAGGGAAAAGGAGGAGGTGTGTGTGGTCCTTCAAGGCCTGAGTAAGAGAGAAGGAATAAATGTTTTAGGGCTTAATGAGGTCTGCCTGGGTTCTTGACATTGGTCTTTAATCCTTAGCACCACCTCTGGAGGTAGGGGAGCTTATCTCCTGTTGCCAGATAAGAAACCAGGGCTCCATGTTCTCACTTCCCTCCACACTGGTTGGCTGTGATTTTTCTGTGAATGACTTTTCATCTTTAACTAGGACTAGTCTGTTACCTTGAAGTACAGTCCACATCAGGCAGTTCAATTCTTCTCTTTCCTTTCAGTTACCATTTACAGAGTAAAAAGTTAGAGCTGACTACAAATATTAACCAGCAAGTTAAGGGTTTTTCTCTTTTTGGGGGGTGGAGGAGGGTTCTTTTATTTCTTTTAGTGTCATTTTGCAGTCATGTTAGTTGTACATATTATTGTTTTCATATTCAAATTAACCTGGCTTGGCTGATGGAATCCATCCTGTTAGCTCCCTGCCCTTCTGACTGCACATGTCAGTCTTTGCAGCTTTTGGTCCACCAGAATTTACTCCTTTATCTGTGTACCTGCCATCCCAGACCTGTCATCAGCCACTCCTTGGAGAATCCAGGTTGCTTTCAGTGGACAGTGGTGTTTAGAAATGCAATCTGAGTGCCATGTGTGCTCACGGCTATTGGGCTATCATTGCTTTAAGCCTTTGCAGCGAAACTCTTAGGAAAGAAGTATTTGGGGGCAGAAGGGAGAGTTCATAGCAGCTTTCCAATTCCCATTTAACATCACAGAATTTATTACTGCTTTGATTTTTTTTATTTATATCTTTTTGAAAACACTTAGTTCCTTATCCTATACCAATTATTCATGTACATGATTCTACTGTACACACATATAATTGTTTCAGAGTGAGGATCCCCAGGGACAACCGCAGGTCAAGCACTGAGAAAAGTTTAAGATTTCTGTGCAGTTCTGCTTGTCCTTAGAGCATGTTCCATTCAAAATGTACAGCAGGTCCTCAGATAATGTCGTTTTCTTATAGAGTTGATGCTGTTAGAACTTAACTCTTTTTTAATATGTCTTTTCACTTAAAGTCTCAGAACCTGTTGATGACATTGAGGACTTGCTATACAATTGAAATACTGTGTTCTAAGGGCACTCGAAATAATTGTTTTCATAATGTGCCTGTGTCAACAACTTGTGTAATTGGGTTCCTTTACTTGTGTGTCTTTTCAATTTTCAGGCATTGCTTTCTTCTGCCCCCAGAGAATGTCAAATCTTTATATTTCTAAAGCCAAATGATATGACAAGGTTTATTCAATGATATATTCATAACTTCCCTCCTCCTTACACAAAAAGTACTTTTTAGATATTTAGAAAAGTAATATGTCCTGGAGATCACTCCATATTGACATATTTAGGTCTTTCTCATTCCTTCATTGGCTACATTATATTGTCGGTAGGTTTAGTGTCTGTTCTCTTGCACTGTCCCATGTTACAGCTCTTTGGCATCTCTGTATACATACGCACGAACGTGTATATAGAGGCTTTTCTCTGATCTCTGTTCTTTGCCTGTTCTTATATTGAGGGCATTTCTCAGTTTTCTTCCAGTGACCACCCTGCACCTTCTGACAGTAGCCCCAGGAGTGCACAGTATTATTCAGTGCCTTGCAGGAGCCATTACCCCCACGAGGAGCAAATGTCTGCATGGCCTTGTGCAAGTCACCTAAGTGTATCTTGCTCACCTGTGAGAGAACTGCATGATCCTTCTCGCTCAGAAGGTGGTAGAAGTGGAATCAAACACCCTCCCTAAGATTGCTCTGGCTCCTGTCCTGGCAGCCCACGCCCTGGGTGAGTCGGCAGTGTCCTCCCACAGCCAAGGCCAGTGTAGCCGGGGAACTGGCCTGCAGAGAGCAGCTGCCACTAAGCAGCTGTGGCTTTGCCGCCTGACGGAGCCTCGCTGGGTCTGGAGACTGCTCTGCTCTTAGGGCTCTGCGACACAGGGCTATCCCAGCGCTGCTTTCTGGGCCACAGCCTGGGACACCCCATAGCTGGTGTGCCATTTCCAGAGATTCTCCCTTGGCCTGGCAGCCCTACCTGTAAAGCCTCATGGTGGTTCAGCCTGGAGGACTGGTGCTGAGGAGGGACGGTAGAGGGCAGGGAAGTGTGGAGACCATGCTCTGTGCTTTTTGCCATTCAGCCCCAAATAGATATAAATCCATAAATATTTGGTGCTGGGTGTCTTGGGCTGCCTGGCCACAGCAGGGCCTACCTAGTTTTCCCCCCTCTGCTGTCTGAGGGTCAGCCTGGGATCTTTAGGTGGTTCTGTGATACACATACACGGCTGCTAGTTGTGGGTTATTGACTTCCGGGCCTCCTTAATCTGAGTAACTTAAACTGCAGTTTTGATGGTACATCACTTCATGTTTATGTGGCTTGGAATCATTTTAAACCACTTTGGGAGCCATGGTCACAGTTGATCCCCACAGCAGTGGCATTGTGCAGGTTCAGCAGGCATCGTCCCGTTGCAGAGACAAGAAACCGTGACCAGAGAGGTCAAGCAGCTGCCCAGGGCTTCCAGTGAAGGGGCAGACCCAGGGCCTCTGGCTCCCCACCTGGGAGGTTCCTCATACACTCGGGCAGCCTTCCCAGGACCAGGATGCGTTACAGAATGCATCGTCTCTGCTGTGGTCCGAATGTTGGTGTCCCCCTAGAATGCACATGTTGAAACCCAACCCCCAGTGGTATGGTATTAGGAGGTGGGGCCTTTGGGAGGTGACTAGATCATGGGGATGGTAGAGCCCTTATCAGTGGGATCAGTGCCCTAAAAGGGTCCCAGAGAGCGCCCTCGCCTCTTCTACCACTTTAGAACATCACAAGGAAAACACCACCTATGAATGCAGAAGCCCACACCAGACATGGAATCTCCTTGATCTTGGGACATCCAGCCTCCAGAATTAAATACATGTCTGTCGTTTGTAAGCCCCAGCCTGTGGTGTCTGTTACAGGAGGCTGATGAGACTGAGACCTTACTCTGCTAACCCCAGAGCCCGGGCCCTCACTGTCCAGGGACGAGGGAAGGCTTTGGTTCACACCACGCTCTGCACCCTTGGGACACCTGACTTCCCCTCTCCAAACCTCCACTTTCTCGGCAGACAGGGAAAGTGGTGATGAAGATGATGGCAGTGGTGGTGATGGCAGTGATGATGACAGTCATGAGGACGGTGACAATTGTGATGGTGATGGTGAGGTTTAAGACAGTGATGGAGGTGATGATGGTAATGACTGTTGTGTCATGTATAGTGTCATAAAGCTTAGAGACTATATCACACTAGAATCCACCTGGGTCTGCTCCCCACTGAATGACCCCAGTAAGCCACTGTGCACCCCCAGCCTCTGCCAGGACAGGCGTGTGACCACAGTGCTGTCTTGCTCCCCCATCTGTAGACCTATGTGTCCCAGTGGCCCTGGACGCTTCTGCTTCTGGCTGTCAGCGGCTTCTGTAACTTTGCCCAGAATGTTATCGCCTTCAGCATCCTCAATCTCATAAGCCCTTTGAGCTACTCCGTTGCTAATGCCACCAAGAGAATCATGGTCATCACGGTGTCCCTGATCATGCTGCGGAACCCGGTCACCAGCACCAACGTCCTAGGCATGATGACAGCCATCCTAGGGGTCTTCCTGTACAACAAGGTGAGTTGGGGGTGGAGGAGGTGTCTGTCCCCTCAACACCCAGGGAGGCACCAAGAGATGGTGGAATGGGGAAAAGAAGCGGCCTCGCCAAAAGCCAAGAGGCTGAGGTTCTAGCTCTCAGCTTTGTCGGATTGGCTTATGGTCTTGGTGCAGCCCCACCTGTCCTGGCCTTTCTTTTCCTGCGTGGATGACCCTGGCCCTTGCCTCACTGCAGCCGTGGCTCTTGGGTCTACCGAGGCTTTGTCGGGATTTCACTCTCTCCTGATGTAGGCTCTGTTTAGGCCCCTGTAAGAAGAGAGAATGGCTAACAGGGAGGGCCAGTGTATTAACTGTTCACTGGCCATGTCTAGCCCTGCTTGGATTAACACCAACGTTGGCCTTGAAGAACTGTTTGGCTCTGAATCTTGAGCTCCCCTTTGTCTTGTGTGCATGTCCTGGGGAAGGAGCCAAGTGTCCCACTGCTCTCTTTCAGACCAAGTATGATGCGAATCAACAAGCACAGAAGCACCTCCTCCCCGTCACAACAGGGGACCTGAGCAGTAAGGAGCACCACCGGAGCCCTCTGAAGAAGCCCCACAATGGCGTCCTCTTCCCCCAGCATGGAGACTATCAATATGGCCGCAACAACGTTTTAACAGACCACTTCCAATACAGCCGGCAGAGCTACCCAAACTCATACAGTTTGAACCGCTATGATGTGTAGAGCCTAGAGGATGGGGGGGGTTTGTTCTGCAATTCCCCCCACCCCAATCTCAAGCAGTACCAGAAACTCTGACAACCAGTGAATGTAAGCCCAGCCGAGGGGACAGTGCACAACCCTCAGAGGACACTGGGCGTCCCGGCCCCATGGAGCGTCAGGATGCCCTCCTTGCAGTGAGGACCACCACCCTCATGTTGTTTCATGTTCTTCCTTCCTGGAGTCTGTCATCTGAGGGCAGCAGCACTATGCAGATCTTGGCCAGGCTTTATTTTTCTGTGTGGACTTATTCCCCAAGTCGTGTATTTCAGAGTTCTTGTTCTGCTTCCCAGATATCATTTCCAGATGACCCTCTGGGAAGACGGAATCATTGTGGATACAGACCCTGGAATGGGCAAGATGGACTCCGTTTCCCCCTCAGCCCCATGGCAGTTTACAGTCACTGGCAAGCCCTCACAAGTGAACAGCTATTGCAGTTAGCATTGAGTTCTTAGAGGCTGAGTCTTCGACCTGTCGGCCAGAGTTGTGTGCTTGGATCCAGAGGGAAGAGTGGAACAGGGCATTGCTCCTTTCAGGGCGGTGAGGAGGAGCCTGCAGGGCTGGGAGAAGGACCGATAGGAAATCATGTTCAGTGTTTCGAGCTCCATTTCTGTCTTTTTTGTCTTTTCTGGTGGGTCTTCACTGCTGTGATGACTTCACAGGATGTTGGGGAGATGTTGATTTCAGGAGAGTCTCTCACTTTTGTAGGAAATGTTTTGTAGTTGTGTGTATTTATGCCTTGTTCCCCAGGAGGGGATGCATAAGGACTGGCTTATAGATTGAAAACCCTTTTGTTTTTAAATGTTTAAAAGCAAGAAAAGTTCCCACTGCTGATGCCTGTCTTGACACATACCAGCATTTGGTAGAAAACAATGAAGTGTTGAGAAGCACCTCCCAGATGACCACAATCACTGGAAATGGAATGAATCAAGAATACCACTGTGTGGAGAAAAAAAAATATATCATCTCAATGGTCTTGTGTGACAGACAAGAGCACAGTGCTGTGATTCCATGGCCTCTTCTTGTGTGTACACTGGGGTCTGAATCATGACCTGGTGAAGGGGAAAAGAGGCGAGCACCAAGTTAGGACCTGGTTTGTGAGATCACATGCTTTGGTCAAGAAAAAGTTGGTTTCGGCAGATTCATGTCATGACCTGTGTGCTGAGGTCCAGGCGGGGGTCTCTGTCTTTCCCGGCATCAGGAAGGACTGAGTCCTCCCTCCCGGAAGGGACCCTTGGTGATGGCTGGCGGTGTCCTTGGTGATGGCTGCTTTATTCCTTTAGCACCGTCTCCAACGGATGGGACAGGGGTCATCCTTTACCTTCTTGTGCGACATTTTCCTGCCCAGGGAGAGAGTGACGTAGCTTATGCTTGACTCCTGGTTTGTTTTTGATCATTGGAATTTTGTATTTAAGAGGTTCCATTTTGTCAGCTCACATTGGGCACTCCTGGAAGGGTCTCAGATGCATTCTCACTTGTGAGTTCATGAACCACCAGCCTTAGGAGTCGTTGTTTGTTGTCTGCTGTTCACTTGCTTTCTAATTACTTTGGCCCCCAGTTTCGAGATGATTGCTATGTGAAATCCAAAACAGCAATCCTGAAGGGTGTTACTGGTGATGAGCTCATCACTGAGTACCTTCACCAGAGGCAGTCAAGTCTACAGTTGAATTTTTCTGTCGAATAACAAATAGGGATAATTTTGCACTGCAAAGATATTACGGTAGTTGTATTTACTATTAGAGTAACTCCTTGAACATGTAATTGAACTCCAAAATGAATTATGCCTCCATTTGGGTTTAATGAAATTTCCGATATTGCTGAAATTTGTGTATTAGTTTGTTTTCCTTTTCCAGTGCAAGATCTACTGGTGAGGGGAATGACTGGTTTTATTATGGTTTATAAATTAACAAATGGGATATTTAATTCTGTATATACATTTACAGTAAGTACATACACTGGAATAAATGAGACAATCATATTAGATCAAATCATCAAAAAAGACGTACTTTTGAGACTTGACAGTTCAAAGCTGACAATGACCCCAAGAAAGCTGGTTTTCCAGCCACGTACTGGCCTGGTCTGCCACACTGGCCCTGTGCTCCCCACATTTGCAACTGTTCTCATATTCCTCACTACTAGAGTTTGTGGCAACAAGTTCAGTTTACCCATTTGTGGTGTGGTCTGGCCTGCGACACTAACCCAACTCCTTCATTTTACAGAAGGGGAACCTGAGGCTCCGAGGGCATTTTTGAATAGTGTTTTGATAACTGTGTTGAGACTTGGTGTAGAATTTTTAAGCACCATATTTTAAGTCATTCGTCATAGGGGAAATCCCTATTACAAAGGAGAGAAGCCAGAATATGTTCCAGTGAAGAAGCACTTGGAATTTCTGAATTTTGCTGTGTATTTGGCATACATTATGCAATAGGTCCATTATTATTCCTGGGACATAACCATTCATACCTGATCTGTTAATGATCTAACAGCCTTAAGGGCAGAGAACGTTAAATTATTAAAGGATCTGAAAATTGTGAATTTTTTTTAATTGTCACCTGTTTTTTAAACTTAAATGCTGTAGACTGTTCTGTGGGAATGACACTCTTATGTTCATTGATGGCATTTACCAAAAATAAATGATGGTGTCCAGGGAATTAAGACTCGCCCCAGTTTGTCAGTGAGGGTCTCTTTCTGAGTGACCCTGTCTTCATTATACCCCATAACAAGACAAACAATAGGTAGAAAGAGTAACTGACCTGGTTCTCGTATCTTTAGTATTTCAAAGCTTTTTTTTTCCTAAGCCAAATTTAGGACCTGTGATTTGTGGATTTATGAGATAGTAGAATAAAACTATAGAAATCACAGCATAACAGTTAATGGCATACCTTTATTGAACAGTATAATGTGGAAAACCTATGAATGTTGTGGCAGCTTGTGCTCATAGAGCGTATTTCTGAGGAGTAATACCTTCTACATGCCAGACACAGTGGTGGGTTTTCACACACAATTCTTATCTTTTTGTGTTATTTATAGATGAAAATGAGGCCCAAGGGGGTTAAGTCACTTGTCTAGGGTCACACAGCTACTTAAGTCTGCCTCCAAGGCCCAGATCTTCCATATGACTTAGAAACCGTTCCCTTCAACTGCAGTTAAAAGTTGTCAGCTGAGCACAAGAGTCAGGAGGCTTTGGCTAGAAATAAATGATGAAGATCTGTAGGGTCTTAGGATCTGCAAATGGGAAATACAACTAGGCACTACACTAGAGTGTTCCAACGCAAGAAGTTATTACAGTACAAAGTACATTCTTGAAAAGAATTGGTCCTGCATTCAAAGCCTCTGGGCTGGCGTGATGGTAACCTAAAGTCATATGGTCTGGACAATGGATGTAAGTTTTCCTACATGCTTTATTCTTTCCTATGACCTTCAAAGGGTTATCTCCAGGCATTGATGCACAACTAAAAAGTCCAAAAGTGTAAGTTCTCATCTAGTTAAAGCAAGAATAGAATTGTTTCTACATGCCTCAGCCTACTTGATATAATTTAGCAGCTTGACTATATTGACTCATTTTATTTCTTCACTCTTTCTTCAAAGGGATGTTTCTGCTAAAAGAACTACCCACACCTTTTTAATTCATAAACCTTCTTTTCTGTTCAATGATTTACTGAGCATTTAATTTGTGCCAAGTACAGGAAGCTGAGATACATAAGCCTACCCTCAGAATACTCGGTCTAATTTACAAATGTGTCCCTGAGTAGCACGCAAGTGCTATGTTGGAGGTACATCAAAAAAATGTGAAGGAAAATGCTGGGTAATTATTTGACAGGCATACGGGAATGTTTTGACTTGTATTTACAATTCACAAGATAATTTTTGCATTTTTATACACGCCTCATTTTACCATCAGAACCCAAGTGGGATATATTAGCTTTATTTTATAGAGGGCAATAGAACAGCTTAGTCCATGGAGCAGGCCTGGAACCCAGGAGTGTGTGACTCCAAGCCCAAGGCCCTCTGCCCAGCAGAGCAGCCTTAATAGCTTTTTTTCTTCACCTTGTCATATACACCTAAGAGGGATCGCTACGATCAAAGGTGTATCCTGTCACTTTACTTGCCTGGACCACATTGCCACAGTGAGACCCTGAAGGAGTCCTCATGTCTGGCTGACCCAAGAGGCTTTGCGGTCTGCCACTGCAATTCCAGCGGGCCCTCAAGCAGCTCTGATCTGGGATGTGGTCACTGCTGTATGATTAGATTAAGGGCCAGGTTTAGTGATGGCCCTGTTTTTCAGATATCAGAGTCTGAACTCCTACTCAGGAATGTCCTCTTACAGACACTGGAATACCTTTTGGTTTCAGGGCAACTCTTGTGTGACCAGAGGTTTGCTTGGTGACGTGTTCAGGCCCAGAGAATGCTCTGTGCTCCGGCATGGGACAGGACCTTTGTTCCCGTATCACTGATCCTACTGTGGCTTCGGCTAATTGACCACATGGGGTTCAGTTACTACAGATGAGGTGACAGCCACGCCAAGCTCTGGCTTGAAACTATAGATCTGGATATGGGCCTGGATTTTTTCAGTAACCCCCTAGCTTTTAAATAACTTTTATTGTCTACATATGTTTAAGTTTGAAAAAAATTGTTAAAGCTTCAATGTCAAAAATAATGGGAAGGATCTGTGTATAGAGGGAACAATATATCATTGAGATACATAAATGTTGTGAACAGTTTATCTCTGAAGCTACAGAAGAAACTGAACACAGCAGTTGCATCTACGGAGGAGGGAGGATACGTACACATTTAAAAAAAAAATCTTGAATTACAGTCAGTGTGTATGTATGTTTTTTAATCCTCACCTGAGGACATATTCATTGATTTTAGAGAGGGAGAGAAATACATTGGTGTGAGAAAGAAACATCGATCAGTTGCCTCTCATATGCGCCCCAACCAGGGATCGAACCCACAACCTAGGTATGTGCCCTAATTGGGGATAAAACCAACAACCTTTTGGTGTATGGGACCACGCTCCAACCAACTGAGCCATCCGGGTAGGGCTGCATGTTATTTTGTAATATGCTTTAACAAAATATGCCAGAAACATTTCCCCGTGTTATTAAATATTCTCCCTTGATTTTGTGTGTCCATGTACATGGTGGCGTAGTGTTGTTCTGTTATGAGAAAGTGCTACAATTAAACCCTGGGAAAAGTTTGCAGTGCACAGTGTAACACACACTTCTGATTTGGGATACAGTCTTCACAGCACATTTGTAGGACCAAAGGAGTCATGCATGTGGTTTTAAACTTTCCATTTTTGCTCCTTAGGTAGGTCCCTTCAACAAGTTCATCTCACCCAGGGGTGTGCAGATAACTTGTTTTAAGTCTTGTTTCCAAGTCCTTCAAGAACCATCATTGAAGTGCATCTACTGCTTTCTTCTGACCAGTGGATTCTGACTGGCCCACTGAAATGAGCCTGGGTGAGGCCCTGTGATGCTTAAATTTGCAGTCTCAAATAAGTGCATTTTAAACACTACAAAATGAACTATGACATAGTGGTCATGCATGTACAATCTTTCTGGGAGACAACTGAGGAATTAATTACCAGTATTAAATATGCACATCCTTAGATTAAGGACAAGATCTATATTCATGGGCTGGCACAAACAATGCCCCCTTTTTATTACAAACTCTTTTATTACAAAACGATAAGCATGTCATTCTGTAACAACAATATCACGCTCAAACACACCATATGACATTTTAGGTGAAATGTTCAAATTGCTGTCCATCTCGTCATGCAAAACATTCACATACCCTAACAACCGCACTCAAGCAGGCGTTACTTCTGCTATATACTAAGCTACATATTGTGCTATATATGATACGACACTTTAAAGTTTAAAAATGGAACCAACCCGAGACTCCATAGTCTGGCTTTAATAAGTTACCATAAATCCACACCATAGAATCACACGCAGTCATTAAAAAGTGACAACACAGATTCGTTAACTTGTTTTGGTTCACCTGTTAATCTAATAAATGCTGTGTATCTTCAATTCACAAAAATGCGTATATGTATGATACTGTGCTATTTCTGAAGTCCATCCATTTGGCTGATCACAAGTTCAACCTTCTTGATATAGGTCTCTATTGGCATGAAAAAATGCCCACACTATCCAGATTACTAAAAATCCCACAATGTGACCCTTGACCCGGAGTGTTCGCTTGGCTACCTCCTGACTACAGGATAACCTTAGTGTAGGCCCTGCCCTCCTCCCTTATCAAGGTCTCAGCACCCTGTTGTTTTCTTTAATAACGCTTTTGTTGTACGTTTACTGACTTATGGGTCTCTTGTGGTTCCCCCCACCCCAGAGACTGTGGGCTCCTAGGGGCAGAGCTTCAATTTGACTTGTTCATCCATAAGCCACATCCAGCCCCCTCTTTGTGAACCAAAACCGGTCTTTACAGGTGAAGATTTGCAATCAGTTGATGACAGGAAAAACTAACTTAGAACCCAAAAAAGCGTTTCATTCTTCTCATTAATAGACCTGTATTTTAAAAACTGTACTTGATTACATTTTGAATTCCACCAGTAAAAAAATGTTATGGACATTTTCTGCGTTATGAAAGTATCTACATATAGCTTCAATTTTGCCTCTTGGTCCACAAAGCCTAAAATATTTGTTATCTGGCCCTTTGGAGAAGTTTGTCCACCCCGGCCTACAGCAGTATCTGGCACACAGGATGCAATCCCTAAGCGTCAAAAGGAGACATTTTGTAAGAGGGTCAGGTGACAGGAGACACCCACAGTCTGCCTTAGTTTGCTGCTCTTTATCCCCTCCCACAATTAACATGCGTTAAATTCATCCTCTGAGGACGAAAAAAGCCACATACTAAAGCTGACAAGTTCAGGGGAGGCCTGCATGACAGGCCTTACAAACCCAGAGACTGAAAGTAACCTCAAAGGATGGTCTGAACATAAAAGTTCCTAACTAAAGGCAGGTCGTAGTAGGTAGTTAAGTCCCAGACCTGTAGCTTCTTTGCCAAAGGTCAATGTTGACCTTAAATGAGCCTATTATCTTTTGGCATCTAAAATAAACATACCTTTGAAATGTCAGAATAATCTTTTCCAGACCCCACAGGGCAAGACCACAACACCACGAGCCCACAGAACTCCTGTCATCTTGTTCCTGCATACCATCTCTGTGTGCTATACATGTTAACTGTCCCATACCTACCAATGTAAAAGCATGTGTTTCTCTATTTTGCTTTATTATCCATCCAATTGCGGGTTATCTACCCCCATTCCGCTCTGCTTTCTCCCGCCCCCTTAATCTACCACCAGTGGGTTACATGTAACCCTCCTTACCTCTCCTCTTTTCAACGTATAAAATAAGCTGCAAAGCTGCCATTCTCAAGAGCATTTTTCGCAATTTTTTGAGATTTTGCTTCCCGGCAATTTTCAGTTTGACTCGAACAAAACTCATAAAAAGTCTCTACTAGTGTGGACGTTTCTTACATCCACACTCGTTTTAGAAGGAATGTCATCGTTCCTTTCAGGAAGGCGGACAGTCTTGCAGAGCAGGTACTGCGGTTCGTGGGCGCTCCTTCGAGGTTGACTTTGAATGACTGCGCCGAAGCCACGCGAGCCGTGCAGGAGAGCAATCTACTAGCGGGGGTGGAAGTCTCCACCGCAGTCTTCCAGCGCTTATGGCCGCTATCAGCGTTGGGTCCAGCGGGCTCTGACACCTCACTAACCCCAGTTCGATCCTCGCCAAGCCTGGCGCCTCCGGATACTGCTTCTTCCACGGGGCTGGCCTGGGAGCCTCTCGGACTCACCTCACGTCGCGGTCTGCTTACTGCAGCTCCCCCGGAGAATGAAACGCAGGCCCTAATTCAGGCAAGAACTCCACAGTCCACTAGCACGGCGGAGAACGCGGCCCACCAGGGCTGCAACGTGGGGAGGGGAAGAGCCCCGGCCAGAAATAACGGCCGCCCAGACAGTTTCAGGCGTTTCGGGGCGGCGGGCGACAGGCCACTCTGCGCATGTGCAGGAAGGCCTCTGCGCCTGCGCATCGCTAGCCCCTCCCGCGTGCTTGGCTCCGCGCGGCTTCTTCCCGCCCGCCTCCTGCCCTCACTTCCGGAGTTTCCCGGCGACGGCCGTAAGTGGCGGGAGGAAGCAGCTCACGAGGCCCGCCGTAAACGGCTCCCTCGCGCCACTTCCGGCCGGCTTCTGCAGACGGCGCTGGTGGGGGATCGAGAGGCGCCGGAGGTCGTTCTTGGCGGCAGGAGCCATGGAGATGCCGCTGCCACCCGACGGTGAGGCCCAGCCCGTGTTTAGAGACCGTTTCTCTGCCCCCCGAATGCCCTGTTGGCGTACCCCGCCTCCCGGGGTCCCCGGGCCTAGGAGGGGGCGGGGCTCGGCCTCTCGGGTTCCCTGCGGCCTCTCCCGCGGGTCCTCGCATTCCCGGCGCGCTTGTGGCCCCTATCAGGACCCGTACAAGGGCGGCCTCTGTGGGGCCCACCCCTAGGGACCCCGACCTGGCGGACAGGGCTAGTACGCCCGGGCCCCCGGATTTGGGCGGTCCTCGTTGACGCCCCGCGTGGCTTTTTCTCCGTTCTATAGACCAGGAGCTTCGAAATGTCATCGACAAGCTCGCCCAGTTTGTGGCTCGCAACGGGCCCGAGTTTGAGAAGATGACTATGGAGAAGCAGAAGGACAACCCGAAATTCTCGTTTCTGTTCGGAGGCGAGTTCTACAGTTACTACAAGTGCAAGCTGGCGCTCGAACAGCAGCAGCGTGAGTCCTCTCCACCTCTGGCAGCACCCTCGAGCGATTCCTTTCTCTGATTCCAGTGCGGCTCTGCCACAAACCGCCTTCTTTTGGGTCGCATGCTCTTTCTCTGAAAACGGGGCCGCTCGGCCTTCATGATCCCATCCGCTGTTTCCAGGCTTGCAGTGAGCGGTTCCTGAGTCCGAGTGTAATGGAGAACGAGATTATCGATCTTTCTCTGGGCTCAGGATCAGGGATTTTTCTGTTGTGCAGATGTAATGACCGAGGTCAGCAGAAGCAGAGTAACTGCTTCAGTGTTTTCCATGAAGGGCGTGATAGAGGCTGGACTGGGACTCTTTTTAAGTCCAGCCTCCTTTGTGGGCTCTTCCTGGGTGCAGCAAGGTTTTTGTGCATTTCAGTTGTTTGCAGTACAAATCAAAAAGAATTGTTTCTCTGGGTTGTAATTGTTGGCAGATGTTTATTGACGTTCACTGCGTTGGGCATCAGGATTCTGGTCCTGCCCTCAAAGAATTTAAGATGGTGTTAGAAATCACAGCTGGCGTTTGAGTAATAAATAGCCACCAGGTGGTAAGGTACTACATCTGTATTTAGTAGCAAAAATCTAGCTTCTAAATACATTGTTTGAATGAATAGGGGATTGCCTAGTGAATGAGCATTGAAAACCAAATATTCCCTGTATTACAAGCAGCAGCCTTGTTTTGGGCTAGTGTTGTGCCCTAATACATACCAGATAGTAGGTGTTCAATAAAGAATTTGTAGGAAACTGCAAAGGTGCAGTGGTGTAAACAAGCCTGGTGTGTTTAGGTGTCTGTTAGGAAAAGCCATGAGAGGCCCAGCATGGCTGGAGCCTAGAACATGTGTGGAGGAGGAAGCATTTGATCTGGAGTGGAAATGCCAGGGGAATGTTTCAGTTTTCTCCCTTAGTTCAGAGGTTCCTCTGCCTAGTTATGTTTGAGATGGGAGTGAAGAAGATCAGCTTCCTGAAATTGTAGGCAAAATTTTGTATGTGTTCACCTGTTTCTGGAGCAATTGCTCCTTTCCCCTGGCAAACCAAGTTTAAAACCCCTTCTACAGACTGTGTGAAGTCACGAGAGAGTTTGAAACAAAGGAGAGCTGAGTCAGGTCTGTGTGGCTATCATGGCAAGGCTGGAGGGAGCAGGAGTGGAGGCTAGGATCAGTGAGGCCGGCAGGGGAGTGAAAGGGGCATTTGATGGTAAGGTCTGAATTAGGTCAGTGGGTTGAGTCTTAGGGACTGGGGTTAAGGGGCAGGTGGGTTTAAGGGGTTGAATTCATGAGCTGGGGCTCCAGGTGGATATTGCTTGCATAACCCGGCATGGGAAGACATACTTTGGCTGGCCTGACCAGGGGATGAGACCTGCTTCCTTTGCCAGGGGAGCCTGCTCACCCAACCCTGCAGGGTCAGAAATCCAGGGCTGCTTGGGACTTAGCGCCATAACCCAGGAAGGGTAATGTGCTTCTAACGGGAAAATTGGGACTCATGAAGTGCTCCCTGCAGGTAACAGTATCTAGCTGGGATTAAAGAATGTATCAGACCAGATGGAGACCAAGGAGAGAATAGTGTTAAGGCAGAGGAAAGCGCCTTAGGAGGGGCGGGGGAGTGGAGGGGCCATAAGCTGAAGCTCAGAGAAGGAGGGCTTCTTAGAGTGGCCCGCAGTGAGGATGCAGAGTAAGGAGAGCTGGCTTGCCAAGAACTTAGGAATTCTCCTGGGATCCTTGGAGGTCTCTTGAGGGTTTGGTTTCAGGTCTGTGTTCTAGAGCAGGGTTAGCCACTGTACAGACTGAGCCATGGGACTATATTAGAATGATGTTTTGCAAACTTTAGTGAAGTACCAATTTTTTTGTTCTTTTAAATTTCCATTCTGTTGTAGAAAGTACACCTTTGCAAAATACACTAAAAATGTGAGCCATGAAATGTCAAGTTATTACAAAAGCCCCAAATGCTTCCCTATCATTTCTGTATTGGTTTAGTCGTGACAGCATGTGACCGATCTTCAGATCACACTTCAAGCAGCAGCACTGTAGTTGCCATGTGGAGATGAGGCAGAGGGGGCAGGACTGAATGCAGGGAGACCAGTTTCAAGGGCGATGTGGGTGACAGCAGAGTTATGGCAGTGACAGCAGGGACACAGACAGACAACTGGGTGATCTGGGATGCTGACTTGGCAGCACAGGCTGACTTGTTAGTGTGAGGTGCAAGGGAAGGAGGAGGGAATGTGCCTTGCAGGCTTCTGGCTTGGGTGGGCATAGCAGTGCCAGCCACAGAGGCCAGGTGTAGGGCCTGGTAGGGGTGGAGGAAGAGGAAACGTGTCCGTGGAAAGCTGTGGGCTGTTCAAGCTGTAATTAGGTCCAAGGCCCAGGAATCCAGGATGGACATGATAGATTTAGGAATCATGGTGTGCAGATTGTAATTGCAGCCACAGGAACATGTCAGAGTCCCCTGGGGACTTGGGAGAGAAGACAGCCCTGGCATCCCAGCATTTAACGGTTGGAGAGAAAGAGACAGGGGCCATGGGGATAGGGTTGGGGATAGATGGGCAGAGCCAGACTTGCCCTGGGCTGAGAGAAAGATATGAACTGCAGCAGGATCTATAAAATTGTTCAGGGGAACATGGAATTAAGGGAGAGTTTTTTTTAAAGACAAAACAGGTGTGTTTAGGTGCTGCCTGGGAGGAGTCAGTAAAGAGGGAGAAAATGGAGAAATGAGAGCGAGAGAACAGATTTGCTGAAGAAGTGTCTTCAGGAGGGTGGAGGAGGGTGTCCCAGAGGGCGTTCTCGGGTGCAAACCCCGGAAGGCTCAGTCAAGCCCAAGAAGGGACTGGGTGCCCTGTGATGGGCCTGGGCACCCCTTCCACCCCATTTGCCTGTCTTGGTCCGAAGGCCAGGTCCCCTTCAGGTGGGATTCAAGGAGGGCTCCACAGTGCATGGTCACGTTCAGACCAGGCCCCACGACTCATGGGGAGGCCGTTTTGTCCAGCGACCCTTCACATCAGAAACCCCACCATCCAAATCTCTGTCCCTTCTCATCTGGCCAGGTTTGGGGCGCGCACCTACCTGACCCAGACTCCTGCCAGCGGGATGGGCATCCCATACTCGCTGAATCTGGTTGACTCCAAAGTACTGAGGAGTCCCTTTCCCCAAACAAACAGAGTCAGGATCAGGAAAGCTAGGGCTTGGGGGTGGTGGGCCACAGCATGTGCTTGGGGGTGCTGGCCTGCTCCTTCTGTGGGACCACAGGTTTTTGGGCTTGCTGGCCAGATGTCAGGTGGCTTTGATGTCCTGAAGTTGCAGAGTAGATTAGGGGGTGGTGGTAAAGGAAGCTGGGGGACTAGGAGAGACACCCTTTGGGGCAGGGCTGTGGTTTAGCATCAGTTCAGGCCTAGGTGAGGTGAAGAGGGTGGAGTGGGGTGGGCTCAGGCCCGGTCTGTGTCAGAGGACGCTGGGCGAGACAGGTTGTGTTGGCAGGAGTGGCATGGTTACAGAACTGAGGTCTCCGAGGGGAGGACTGGTACAAAGGTGGTGGTTGGGACCCAGGAAAGGGGCTGGGTCTGGGCTCTGGGGTAATGTGGGCGGTGCGGGAGGGCCAGGTTGAGAGTGAGGGGAGCCTGGCAGACTCTGGTCGGGGTGGCAGGGGTGGGCTCTGTGGCTGTAGCACAACACGTAAGTTCTTTTGTGGACGGTAAGTGGAAGGAAGGGAGCTCCTACAGCCTAGAGCTGCCTAAGAAGCAGCCAGGGGGACACCTAAGCCACTTTCTCACAAGACCGCCTTTTCTCCTGTCCTGCCAGTCATCTGCAAGCAGCAGACTCCAGAGCTGGAGCCGGCCGCGGCCCTGCCACCCCTCACACAGCCCCCGCTAGCCCCTGCTGCACCCATCCCGCCTGCCCAGGGAGCCCCGTCCATGGATGAGCTCATCCAGCAGAGCCAGTGGAACCTGCAGCAGCAGGAGCAGCACCTGCTGGCCCTCAGACAGGTATGGGGCTTGCTCCTCTTCCTTCTCGCTGCACCAGCCCTGAGTCGGGTGCCCTCGGGCCATCCCCTTTCCCCTCTTAGTCCTAAGCTGAGATTCTGGAGCTTGCCCCTGTGCCTAAGCTTTTGCATCTGCACGTTGGGACTCACAGTAGCTCGCAGGAGGACTCATTACAGAGCGTCGACCCTGAGCACAGTGCTCCCAGTGCTTTGTGCGTCACCCCGGTGCTTCTACCTCCCATGGCCTGTTTAGCCCAACCCCTGCCTCTGGACAGAGCTTGTTTCTTATTCCAGTAAAATCATCACAGGAGCTGTGTGCTGGGGTGGTCACTTCTGATTGGGACTGCACATTAGAAATTGTGAGTGCCAGCTGGTCTCTGGTGCCATTGGCACCAGTTCTTGCTAGCCAGGTCACTCCAAGCTGTTGGGGGAAGGACCCTTCTGTCCCGATCCATCAGTTGCGATACTTTGGCCAAATACAGTGGGATGAATCACCCAGAAAATGAGATAGATAAAAAATAAGACATCTGAATCAGCAGCCCCAGTTTTATTATTAGATTTAAGGTTACTGTCATATTGCTGACTATTAAAAATGCCAGGTCACGCACCCTCAGATCCTCGATGGAGCTGCTCATAGGCCGGGCGCTCTGGCCTCGGCCAGCCCTGAGCAGACCACCTGTCCCCACAGCAGTGCTAGATCTCAGTGGTTTCTCCGTCTGCCCATCTGATGGGCGAACCTCTGGCGTCCTGTTTTAATTTCCAATTCCCTGGTTGCTAGTGAGGTTGCTCTCCTTTCTCCTGACTAGGGACCGCTTACATGTCTCCTCTATAACTGTGTCCACATTGTTGCTCACTCTACTTTTTGTGTCGAATTGGCCTACAGAGGTTCCTTGTTCTTCTGGGTCTTAAGCATTCCATCTGTTACCTGGAGGGTGGGGGGTGGACATTGTCTGTGTCTTGTCTTGTTCTACCTCTGTCCGCTCTGCCTGCCATGGCTGTAACTGCCCCCCCGTGTGGGTCTGATGATGCAGACCTGAGGGACAGGACCTCCTGGTGCTGTGGGGGGGGGCACTGATGGGCAGTCTTGGTCCCACCTGGCCTCCCAGGAGCAGGTGACTGCAGCTGTGGCCCATGCGGTGGAGCAGCAGATGCAGAAGCTCCTGGAGGAGACCCAGCTAGACATGAATGAGTTTGACAACCTGCTGCAGCCCATCATTGACACGTGCACCAAAGACGCCATCTCGGTGAGGACTGGTGGGCTCCGTGCTCCCCGAACCTGGTGCTCCTGACAGGCGGGAGGCCACCAAAGCCTGCCTGGGCTTGGGCTGCTGTAGGGGTGCCCTGTCTACTACTGCCCTTCCCTCTTGAGCACCTCCAAGAGGGAGGTGGAAGGAGGCAGAGGCTGTAGCGTGCAGCCAAGCCCTTGGACACCACACCCTCAGCTGTGCCCTGACCTCCTCGGGTACCTGCCCACACTCTGGCTGGGGGAGCCCAGCTCTGCTTACCCATTGCTCTGGCTTTTGCAGGCTGGGAAGAACTGGATGTTCAGCAACGCTAAGTCCCCTCCACATTGTGAGCTGATGGCGGGCCACCTCCGGAACCGCATCACAGCTGATGGGGCACACTTTGAGCTGCGGCTGCACCTCATCTACCTGATCAATGATGTGCTGCACCACTGGTAAGGGCCCCTCAGGCCCAGCTCGCCTCCTTCCGGCCCTCTCACGGCCGCTGCTCTTCACTCAGTAGCTTGGCCTGTCCCAGGACGGAGGTCACTTGTCCAGAGACCCAAGGGGAGGATCAGTCTATACCATAAACCCCACCCATACACACATGTGCGCCTCAGCCCATTCCCAGACCCCACTCCTCACCTAGGACCACCGTTCCTTCGCTCCTTGCTCTCTTGGGGCATCTTTTAGTGTCTTTCATCATTTCTCCGTTGGCTACCAACTCCCCCTCAGTGATACACATACACATCCCCAGTCACCTAACTGCCCTGCTTCAGGGCCCTTCATGCCAGGTTCCCCTTGCTGACCGTCCCACACCACTGAGGCCAGTCCTCCACCCCCGGAGCCCTCCCCAGGCCCGGCCGGTGTTTACATCTGCACCTCCTTGGGGCCTTACAACAAAGGTTAACTTAAGGAACCAGATGCCTGAGCCAAGGCAGGCCCCGGGAGGAGGCAGGCAGAAGGGAACGGTGCTGGTGAGGCTGATCCATGGCCGCCACATTAGGCTTTGAGCTTGGCCAGCTGAAGGGCTAGTGCCCGTGAGGGCGGCAGAGACTGACCTGGCCCCGTTGGTCCTTTGCCTTGCCCTGTCTTCTGCTGCATGTGCATCCCGGGTGCCCGCCCTCCCCACGCCACCCTCAGCCACTGCCTACATTGTCGTTCCCTTAGTTCCCTGGCGTGGGGAACTAGGCAGCCGCCTGGAACCTTCCCTGCCTTCCTGCTTTACCCACCGCTCTTCTGACTCCAGGGAAGCTCTGCAGAGACAGCCCTGTCCTACCTGTCCTCCCACCTGGACTGCTCTCCCTCCCCTGACCCCAGGCACTCCGTCCTGTCTGTGAGCTCCCTCTGGTGAGCTCGGTGTTGGGAGGGGTTTCAGCCACTCGCCATCTGCCTCGCGTCCTCCCCGGGAAGCAGCAGATATGCCATCTGGGCTCTGTTCTCACCATGCTGGGAGCCCCGTGCCACCTCAGCGTACAGCCACCAGGGTTTCCACTCCTATTTATGCTCAGAGAACCCCCTGAAGAACGTGAGGGCAGGCTGCCTAGCCTTGCCAGCCTCAAGTCCCCAATGTGGGGCACAGCTGGCACACTCCTGCCTCCTGAAATGTGGGGACCACATTTGGGGAATTTTTGTGCACAGGGGATGACAGGGCTCAGCAAAGCCATGTAGACAAGTCCCTGAGCCCATGCAGCCCTGGCTTGTCTTTCGGGGAGAGCGGGGCTCTCATAGGCCCTGTTCCTGTCCATTGCCGTGCCACCCCAGGAGAGAGGGAGTGTTTTACTAACAAGGGGACCGGGATGACAGGCTTTGCTCTGAATGTCCCCAGCCTGTGATTTTCTTTTTCCCTCCTCCTGCTGCTGTCTGTTGATCGGGCCCAAGTGCCAGCACAGGTCTTGTGGGAAGCCCAGCCCTCGTCCCAGCTGGGTTGGGGGCCCGTTCCCTGAGAAGGCAGAGGGCGCTGTGGCTGGAGCCGCGATGGTAACGGGCGCGTGGCCGGGTCCCGCCCCAGGGCCCTGATGCGCGGAAGGTCTCTCCCTCACAGCCAGCGCAAGCAGGCCAGGGAGCTGCTGGCCGCCCTGCAGAAGGTTGTGGTGCCCATCTACTGCACCAGCTTCTTGGCCGTGGAGGAGGACAAGCAGCAAAAGATTGCCCGGGTATGTGGTGCAGCCTGGAGGGGGGCGGCGCACGCAGGGGTTGGTCAGGTGGTTTCTCCGTGGCATGACGTCGTGTCCTGTCCACATCTAGCTCCTGCAGCTATGGGAGAAGAATGGCTACTTTGACGACTCCATCATCCAGCAGTTGCAGAGCCCAGCCCTGGGGCTCGGCCAGTACCAGGTGAGTGCTGTTACCTCTCAAACCACACCCCGGGGCCAAGGTGGATGCCATCCTAGCAGTGTCCAGAAGTCAGGGGCTCACCTGTCTAACCTGGGCTGGAAACAACCAGTAGAATGGTGACCTCAGAGCCCAGGTGGCATTTTCTAACTTGGGATCCCAGGTGTGCCTCTGGTAAGCATTGGGGGCTGGGGGCTGAGCAACAGCCTTGGGGCAGGCCCTGTCCCATGTGCAGTGAGGGGCAAACCCTCCCAGGTGAGTCTCGCTGGTGTGCTTGGGGCCCAGTTCCCAGTTTAGGCCCTGCTCTCAGGGTGCCGTCAGCCTGTTTGTGCTGGTCCTCCAGGCGCACATTCACACGGTGGGGGCATGAGGAGTCCCTGGTGCAGTCTAGGCTGCGGCGGCCACCACGTTGTGCAACCTGTGCACCTCATTCATGTGTCTGCCTTTGCCTAGAAGATGGGCACAGGGCGGGGAGGGTCTTCTTGGTCCCTTCTGCCATGGCACCAGCTTCACTGCCCCATACACAGCTGCTGGAATAAAAGGCACGGCTCACATCCCTTCTCTCAGGCCAGAAGGCCTGGCTGAACGTCAGGAGCTGGGTGCAGGCTGCTTCCCTCAGCGATGGCTTTAAACACCTTCCTCCTCAGAGGGGATAGGCTCTCATGCTCAGAAACAAACGAGGGAAGTGCACTTCATACTTTCTCTAATAAAAATGGACTTGTTAAAATGGACCACTATACAACAGCTAGGCCAGCTGCTTTTTTCCTCCCAAATTCATAATAGTAGCTTGCATTCACTGAGCCCCTGCTGACTAGTCTCTTTCTGTGTGTTAGTCATTGACGTACCCCTGTAGTCCTCAGAAGTTGGTTTCAGTGTTGTCCCATTCTGCAGAAGAGAAAAATTGAGGCTGAGGGAGTCGATGACTTGTTCAAAACCAGGCAAGGAGTAAGCACAGCCCATGAGCATGTCCCAGAATGTTTGTCACCCACACGTGTTTAGTCTTTGTGGCCACCTAGGGCACAGCTGTCATTGCTGGGTTCCATTGTCAGGGAAAACGAAACAGCACTGCGTGCCACCAAGGCTTTAGCTAGATTCAGATGCTCTGGTTGTCAAGACCAAGTTGATGGTTTTACGTGACAGTGACCTGCCTGCCTCACTGCCCATGGCAGCACCCTGACTTCCCAGTGCCTTCCCAGCACTTGTTCCCATGCTGTTCCAGAAGGGGTGAGCCCTGGGGCTTGAACACTGAGTACCAGCTGCCCTTCTCTCTCTGCCAGGCAACGCTCATCAATGAGTACTCCTCGGTTGTCCAGCCGGTGCAGCTGGCCTTCCAGCAGCAGATACAGACCCTCAAGACGCAGCACGAGGAGTTTGTCAACAGCCTGGCCCAGCAGCAGCAGCAGCAGCAACAGCAGCAGCAGCAGATCCAGATGCCACAAATGGAAGCCGAAGTCAAGGCCACGCCACCACCGCCGGCCCCACCGCCAGCCCCCACACCCACCCCAGCCATCCCACCAACCACCCAGCCTGGTACGTGGCCCCTTCTGCACCCGCCCTCGGGGACCAGCTCCAGAAAGCAGCCTCCCTCCAGAAGGGCTCTGGTTGTGCAGTTACAGGCCAGATTCTAATCAATGTAAAGCTCCAAGCTAGGAGATTTCACATTTAAATGTAACAAAACTTTTACAACTCTTCTGTCTAAACAGTCCCAGAGAATAGGGAGAGAGAGAATTGCCCAAATCATTCTCCAAGACCAGGATAACTTTCTCACCAGATGGGCAGGGCCAGAGCAAGAATTAAAATATAATACAGTGTCACTTCTAAATAAAGATGCGGAAATCTTAAACAATCTTAGCCAACGAAATCAAGCCAAGTATTTTTAAAATACATTAAAATATGGTTATAGGGATGTTTTAACACTTTTAAAAAAATCTAATAAAAGATCAAATGAGTGGAAATAATCTTTCAACTAGATGCAGAAAAGTTAATAAAATTCAGTGATAAAAATTCTTCAGCAAACTAAAATCGACATGGCAGAACTAAGGTACTTTAAAGCTTTCAGAAAAGAAGCATGTGTTCGTGTGTGGGCACGCACTGTCACTGTCACGTAAAACCATCAACTTGGTTGCCTCTTCTGCTGCCTTCCAGGGGGTGGTTGGTTTTTGGTGGGGTCATGAAGCAAGGATTTATTGGGAAATAAAGCCCAGCCTGGGATCCCTGGGTGTTTGCTGAAGCCTGTTTGGGGTGGTGCCTATTGCTGCGGGGGCCTCTGCTAACTGCCTTCTTGCCTGGCTCCAGATGACAACAAGCCTCCCATCCAAATGCCCGGCTCCTCTGATTACGACGCCTCAGGAGGGGTCCAGGACCCTGCAGCCAGTGGCCCCCGGGGCCCTGGGCCCCACGACCAGATTCCGCCTAACAAACCCCCCTGGTTTGACCAACCTCACCCCGTTGCTCCTTGGGGTCAACAGCAGGTATTTCTTCTCCTTCTCTAGCACTTTGATCATGTGGGGTTCTCAGTAACATGTCCCCATTTTTCTGTGAGTGCTGAGAAAGTCCCCACAGTTAAGTACAAGAGGGCATTCCCTTTCCTTCCCTTTTTTGACTGGTTCAACTAGCAGAGTGTCCATATCTTGTTACCCAGGAAAGAATATGGTGCTTGTATAAGGATAGGCCAGGACATGGGTCATCTCATCCACCAAAGCATGGCTGGGAGGCTCCCAAGAACAGGGTCACCTCACTGAGGTTCTGCCCTGGTTTGGCGGTCCACTGTCAGCCATGGCCTGGCAAAGCCCTTGGCCAGCCTGCCCACGTGGTATCTTACACATTTTTAAATAGTTGCCATATTTAAAATCTGGTTTCCTGGCTTCCTGGGGGTATGGTGGCCTGGGTCTGCCTCCTGGTGGTGGTGGTCACTGGAGCTAACCAGCCATGACCCTAGGGATGGTCGGCCTCATCCGGACACATCCCTCCCTGGCTCTGAGGTTGGGTTGTAGTCCAGTTTTAAGTCTCCAGAGCAGCAGCAGGGTGAGATCGGAGCTCACGTTGTGTTCAGCCTACAGAAATGTGTTCCTGGGGTGGACCCAGGAGCAGACACTGAGGCAGGGTTTGAAGGCAATAGTTGATATGAGAGATGACCCAGGAGAGAAGACAGTGCAGGGTAGAGGGGACATAATAAAAGGGGGTGTCTTCAGGGTAGGTGGCCACCATGGGCCCCTGGAGTTCAGTCACTCCACACGCTCTGGACGTGGTGGGGAGGGGCACCTCTGCACTGTCCGCCGAGGGGTAGGAGGTGTCCAGAGCCCCTGTTCACGGGGCCTGTATGCTGACCCAAAAGAGATTCTCAGCCAAAATGTGGGTGCAGCAGTTGGGAGGCGAGTTATCTGCGCGGACATGAGGGGCCAGTGTTGGGGCCAGTACTGCAGCATCCGCTGCAGTGCCGGTGAACGAGGCAGCACCCAGTGGGCCGGCAGCATGCAGCCCCGGGCCTGTGGAGGCCAGATGGGCGCGGGGTGCCAGGCGAGCCTCCTGAGCGGCTTACATCTGCTCTTTGTCTTGCAGCCTCCTGAGCAGCCCCCCTACCCGCATCACCAGGGCGGGCCGCCCCACTGCCCGCCTTGGAACAACAGCCACGAGGGCATGTGGGGTGAGCAGCGCGGGGATCCAGGCTGGAACGGCCAGCGTGACGCACCCTGGAACAGCCAGCCAGACCCTAACTGGAATAGCCAGTTCGAGGGCCCCTGGAATAGCCAGCACGAGCAGCCTCCCTGGGGTGGCGGCCAGCGAGAGCCACCCTTCCGCATGCAGCGGCCACCACACTTCCGCGGGCCCTTCCCACCCCATCAGCAGCACCCGCAGTTCAACCAGCCGCCACACCCCCACAACTTCAACCGCTTCCCACCCCGCTTCATGCAGGATGACTTCCCCCCGAGGCACCCCTTCGAGCGGCCACCTTATCCTCACCGCTTTGACTACCCCCAGGGGGACTTCCCCGCCGGTGAGTGCTCTGCCCGTTCGGAGGTCCAGTAGACACAGCCCTCTCTTGCCCCTGGTTCCTGGAGGAGTCCAGGTTGCCTGCCCCTAAATAACAGATCTCTGCCTTCTGAGCAGGCTGATGGCACTGCCCCCAGTCCTCGGTGTGGACCTGATGTGCCTTGAGTCTAGGTCACATCAGAGTCATGTGATGACAGAGGAGAACAGGCTGGCCACTCAGGTGTCAGCAACAACCACACACCAATCTGTGGAGATGGAACACCCTGGTCCCTCTCCCTACACTCCCAGGAATAGGGCACCGTCTCTGTCCCGCAGAGAAGGGAGCACAGACTCCGGAAGGCAAAGTAACCGCTGAGTGCGCACAGCGGCAGCAGGCGCAGGGGCCAGGGCCCCACTGCTGTCATGGGGTTGCTCCCCTGTTCTTGTCTCAGTTTTTATCAGCTTCTCCACTTTATTGGTTTTTTCCAAAGAATCCTTATTTTTCTTAACTTTTTCTTTTTAAAATAATTTCATTCCTACTGTATTACTGCTTCTACCATTATTTAAATTTGTTTTTAATTTGTTGATTTTAGAGAATGGAAGGGGGAGAGAGGCATCCGTTTGTTCTTCCACTTCATGCACTCACTGGTTGGTTCTTGTGTGTGCCCTGGCCGAAGATCAAACCCACAGCCTTGGTGTATCTGGAGGATGCTCTAACCAACTGTGCCAGCAGGCCCGAGTGCCTTTACCTTTATTTTTAAATCCATCCTTGGTTATAAATTCAGCTCACAGATCACTTAGCACTTTTTTTGCTTGGGTTAATGTCCTGGAATGGCATGACCAGAGTCCCACAGACTGGGTGGCTCCAGCAACAGGTGTTTACTGTTTTCCAGTCAGGAGGTAGAGGTAGTTTCTCCTGGCGCCTCTCTCCTGGGTTTGTAGACTGCCGCCTTCTCCCGGTGTCCTCACATGGTAGTCCCTATCTGTCTGTACCCTAATTTCTTCTAAGTCATATTGGGTCGGGGCCCATCCATATGACTTTAATTACCTCTCTAAAGGTTCCGTCTCCAAATGTAGTCACATTCTGAGGTACTGAGGGTTAGGACTGGTGGGAATTGGGTGGGAGATGCATTTCGGCCTGTGACGTTGCTGGTTGAAGGTTCTGTGCTTTCCCTGTGGTCCCTTTACCTGCGGGGTCCGTCAGGTGCTGCTGTGGGCACAGGACAGGCCCCGCTGAGCCGAGCCTCCCCCATCTCGTGCTGCATTGCCTGAGCAGTGACTGAAGCAGTAGGGGAGAGGGTGCCAGATGGGGCACCCCAGAAAGTGGGTGTTGGCATCGTTGCCTCTCTCAGAGCCCCTTTCTGCTGTCACTTGTCACCTAGGAGATGACGCCTAAGCCCTTGGCACCGCCCAGCTCCTAACTTCCCTGCAAGCCTGAGACAAGTTTTTATTTTGCAGAGATGGGACCCCCTCACCACCACCCTGGCCACCGCATGCCACATCCTGGGATCAACGAGCACCCCCCCTGGGGGGGCCCCCAGCACCCCGACTTTGGCCCTCCTCCCCATGGCTTCAACGGACAGCCCCCCCACATGCGGCGACAGGGCCCTCCCCATATCAACCACGATGATCCCAGTCTGGTCCCCAACGTTCCCTACTTTGACCTCCCCGCCGGGCTGATGGCCCCCCTTGTGAAGGTAAGGTCTGTGGTGAGTGCCAGGCTTAGCTGCACATGCTCCAGCCTGTGCCTCTGTCTCCATGTGAAAAGTTCACAGGCAGAGCCCATTTCCCATAGGCTTCAAAGTGGTACTTCCCAGGCTACTTCTGTGCTTATTTCCCACTCCCCACTGAACTTGACCAAGCTAGTGACAATGCGCCTGAGCCAGCGTGGCCCACGTCCCCTTGCTCCCTCTGCACCTTCCTCCCAGTGCTGCGAGTTTGGCGCCACTGGGAGCAGGCTAGGTTGGGCGTGAGGCACGGGTCCTCAGTACTGGCCCTTGGAAGCCACTTTGTCCAGCGGCCGATGGCACAGGGTCTTTTCAGGAAAGGGGCAGCCTCTGAGGTGTGCCTTCGGGGAGCTCAGGAGTCTGCAGAGGCGTGTCACTGCTCCTTCTCGTGCCCTCTGAGCCACCACAGGTTAGAAGTAGAGAAGAGTCCACTAGAGTGCAGAGAGAGGTAGAGGCAAAGGGGCGAACGCATGAGCTCATTCCTGAGAAGGGGCTCCTGGGTCCGCTAAAGCTGCCCTGATTGTGGGAGGGCCTGCAGGGGAGGTGACGGAGCGCGGGGTAGGAAGTTGGCAGCACAGGGTGGCATTTGCAGATAGGGCATCTGGGATTCCCAGCTTGTCTGAATGAACCAGGGGCTCTCTCCACCTCCTTCGCCTGAGGTCACATTTTCTGTGTATGTTTTCTGGAGAAGTCTGTGGCTTTTATCAGCCTCAAGGGGGAGCGCTCAACCACCCTATTTAGGATGTGGCTGAAGCCTCACGAGAGGATGGGCCTTCCACTACGGGCAGGATGAGCACTCCGGTGCCCAAGGCAACCTGAACACCAAACCTGGGCCCTGTCTCCTGCCCCCTGTGCCTGCAGCCCTGTGGGTGGGCCTGATGGGGACTCCGGCAAGGTGCAGTGACAACTGTGTTCTCCACTGTAGCTCGAAGATCACGAGTACAAGCCTTTGGACCCTAAAGACATCCGCCTTCCACCCCCCATGCCCCCCAGCGAGAGGCTGCTGGCGGCTGTGGAGGCCTTTTACAGCCCTCCTTCCCACGACAGGCCCAGGAACAGGTACGGGGCTTGGGGAGACCCAGCAGTGGGGCCGGTGATAGGAGGGGAGTCTCTGTCCCACCTCCCAGCCTATCTTCCCCTAAGTTGGCTTCACAAGAAAGACTCTTACCAGCCATGCCTCCTGCCCAGCGTGGTGTGAGGTGCAGGTGAGGAGTGTGGTATCTCTAAGAAATTGCCAGTTCAAGTTAGAGGGTCCATTTCTCCCATGGCTGTGCCTCATGTATGTCACACAGTGACACCACCCCCCCTTTTTTTTAAGGCTCCATTTATTTCTTTGGGGGGGGGCCTTGATCAGCTGTCTGTCACATGGACTCTAACCGGCGTCCTTGCCAGCAACTCGGGCTTGTGTCCTGACCAGGAATCGAACGGGCGACCTTTTGCTTTGTGGGATGACGCTCAACCCAACTGAGCCATACCAGCTAGGGCTACATAGTGGCCCTTGATGAAAGGCTTTTCTAGCCCTGACTGGGTAACTTGGTTGGTTAGAGCGTCATCCTGATAGGCCAAGGTTATGGGTTCAGTCCCTGGTTACGGCACTTATAAGAATTAACCAATGAGTGCATAAGCAAGTGGAACAGAAAACGGATGTTTTGCTCAAATAAATTTTTTAAAAAATTGGAAAGAAAGGCTTTTCTTTTTGTGATCTACACAGTAGAATAAGCTCTTACCGCAGATGTGGCACATTTCAGAGGAGGCTCACTGCTGCACACCCAAGTGTTGTCACGGATCCCTTTCAGGATACCCACCCCCAGGGGCCGTTTTGCCAGCCCAGCTGAAATTGCTTCCTGTCCTGTGCCAGGTGCAGGTGTGCCCATCTATGAGTCAGAGCCCCTGGTCCCCAGTTACAATATGACCACAGGCCCTAAACTCCCCTCACCTCTGTCCTGATACAGCAGTTCCGAAAGGCAGGGAGCAGGGTGGAGCCAGCTTACAGCCCAGTCTCTCCACTTCCCGGCAGGTGTCTGACCTCAGCCTGCTTCCTTATCTGAGAAAGGGTGCCTTGGCAATGACCCAAGTGCTGTCTGTGGGGGCACATGCTCAGCACCCTGAAAGAGGCAGGGGGCTGCACACCTGAAGGCTTGTTGGGGGGCGCGGGGAGGCTGGCATGGTTGCATGGGGATTGCCTGTCTTACAGCGAAGGCTGGGAGCAAAACGGCCTCTATGAGTTCTTCCGAGCGAAAATGCGGGCCCGACGGCGGAAAGGCCAGGAGAAGAGGAACAGGTAAGGGCATTACTGCTGACTTGCGGAGGCATCGCCTCCCTGGCTGCATCTTGTCATGAATTGGCTTAGAGTGTACCAGATATACTGTCCTGTCACATCCTAACGTGTCATAGCATGCCCAAATACATGGCATCACCCCAGCCTCCTCCTGGGTCCGGGGTCTGACCCGTAGGATAAAGGCGCTAGGCAGGAGCAGTTCCCACAAATCTGAGTTAAACTGAAAACACCAGCACAAGGAAAGGTGGTTATGGCCTGTATTCACCAAGCTGTTTAGGAACACAACACCCTGGTGTTAATGGCGTGTCCTTACCCCGACACATACCCTTCGGGTCTTCCCAAAGTCGGGTGGGGGCGGCAGTCTCAGCCTCTGAGGGAGCCGGGAGGTGCCAGCTCCAGCTCAGCAGCCTCTTCCTGCAGCGGACCCTCACGGTCTCGGAGCCGATCCAAAAGCCGCGGGCGTTCCTCCTCTCGCTCCAACTCGAGGTCCTCCAAGTCGTCTGGCTCATACTCGAGGTCACGGTCACGTTCCTGCTCCCGTTCCCGCTCCTACTCCCGTTCCCGCTCCAGGTAGGCAGGTACCACCTCTGTGGGTTTTGGGCCTGAGGCTTCTGTGTTGCCTCCAGGCTGACCCACAGGGCTCCCCCTTCTCTTCCCCAACAGGAGCCGTAGCCGGTCCCGCTCCTCAAGAAGCCGCTCGAGGTCCCGCTCCCGCTCCAGGTCCAAGTCATACTCCCCGGGGAGGAGACGTCGGTCGCGGTCCAGGAGCCCCACTCCGCCGTAAGATTTCTGTCTTAACTGTCCAGTGACCTGCTGGTAGCACTGGAACCTCTGAGGCTTTGCTGTGAATGTTGAAATGTGTCATTAGAAGACATGGCTTGCAGTGGCCCGTGCTGGGACAGCGCCTCAGGGACACCCAAGCACTAATGCGATGACATTGGCACCTCCTCATCTCACACTGTGGTCTTACCTTTTTGTGGTCACGTTGTAAAGCCTGAGGCAGTGGCCGGGCTGTGTTTCTAACCGTTTTAGGGTTTGGCGTGACCCACCCTTGCTGCACAGTGGGGGGCAGGAGCCGTCATCTTAGGGAGCCCCTCACCCGGCTGGCGAAGAGGATGAAGAAGAGTGGTAGAGACACAAGCGTGTGTGTCCATCCTACGCTGTGACCGTTCATATAAGCCACATACCCTGTAATATTCTAAGAGTCTTCATTCCAATAAATGTACCAGCTCTTTTTTAAAAGACGTAACCTGTCTTAATTTTAGTTCTTCAGCTGGTCTGGGTTCTAATTCAGCACCTCCTATACCTGACTCCAGGCTTGGGGAAGAGAACAAAGGACATCAGATGCTGGTGAAAATGGGTAAGGTTCTGGGCTCTCAGGGTCGGGGAGATGGAGTCAGAGGACGTTCCAACTCACCACCGTGTCTTCGGAAACGGGCCAGCTGGGCGTTCTTTCGTCCTTTTATCAGCTTCGTATTTGTAAACAGCATTTATGCATGTTACTTCCCCAAGCGCATTCCAGTTTACTTTTGTGTCAGGGGAAAGGCGCCAGATTACAGTTTTTGTGGGTTGTAACCACTCACCCCTCTTTCTTCCTAAGGCTGGAGTGGATCTGGCGGCCTCGGCGTGAAAGAGCAAGGGATCCAGGACCCCATCAAGGGGGGGGACGTGCGGGATAAGTGGGACCAGTACAAGGGTGTGGGCGTGGCCCTGGATGACCCCTACGAGAACTACCGCAGGAACAAGAGCTACTCCTTCATCGCCCGCATGAAGGCCAGGGACGAGTGCAAGTAGGAACGGTGAGGAGCCACCAGCCGCTGGCAGCCTGGCCACTGGGACCTTCCTGGCTTACTAGCTGTGGAAGATGGTAGGGACAGCTCGGTTCTTACACCGCCTCCGTCTTTGCGGAGCGACAGAAGAGAAAGACAACCACAGCATGCCTAGTGATCAGTGTCGTGCTCGACTGCAGGGAGGCACAGGCCCCGCCTGCAAACCAGCTCTAATGTAAAAGTAAGATTCACATGAGAAGACACCCTGAACTCATTGCCTGGACAGTGAAGCAAGAAATGTGAGCCCCTCTCCCCTGGACAAGAATTTCTGACACCTGAGGGAATGGATGTTTCACATCTCTGCTGCCAGATGTGAGTCTCCACTTAACGTCAGCAGGCACGAGCGGAGGACACCCTGCGCGAGCACGCTGGCCACCCAGACCAGGGGCGTGGCAGGCCAGGCGCCAGTACTGCTCATTCTTTAAAAATGGAAAAACAAAACCTTGATTTGCAAATTTAAACAGGGTTTTCATTTTTACTCCAAATGGTTTAGTTTAAAAAAAAAATTGACCTAAGATGATCCCCAGTGAGATAATTTGAAACTTGATTCCTCCAAGACATACTGGCCCTTAGTTTAGTTGATTTTTTTTTTTTTTTTTAATGTTAGGTATTTGCTATTATCTCCAGAAACAAAAGGATCTAAGGAGACGGATCTGAGGCATCTTCAGGTCACAGAGTGATGCCCATGGAGGACCTGTGACCTTAGTGTCTGCTTGTGTTTTTCACTTAAAGGAACCCACACCAGCACTTGCGTGCGATAGCCCACTCAGACCGGACACGCCTCCTGCTCTGTCACTTCCTTCTCCTACCCACCCCCCTCCAATCGCAAGGAGGTGAGGCCCGGAGGGAGCCACTAGGTGACTGCGCCAGGATCGGCTGTACTTGGTGTCTTCAGGCAGCAGGGTGCAGTGCCGTTTATTTGTACAGAAACACTTTTGAAAAATTCTTTTCAATAAGATGCAAAATCCTCTCCAACTTTTCAACCTGATGTGATAAAATATTTGATTTTGTTCTAGGTTTCCTGTAGCTGTGTATTGTTTAAACGCATCTGATTCAGGATAAAGCATAAATACTTGCTGTTAACAATTTCTTGTGGGTTTTACTGTTTTGCCTTCAAATAAAGACTTTTTCATAAATACCTTTTTCTCCGTGTGTTGGCCTCAGGAGTGTGCTCAGCCTCAGTAGGGAAGAAGTGTGAGTGTGAATTTGCACTCTAGGTTTGGGTCAAAAGCTCTGCCTGGCGTCTCACACCAGGGTCCTCAGCGTGGACCCCTGGCCGTGTCCTCATTAGTGAATGGGACTTTTTGTCCTTAGGAAGCCAGCACCTGGCCAGGTGGAGCCGTTCCACGGAGCCCCACAAGCTGGCATCCTGTGTCTTCCCATGAGCTCCCCCTGGGTTCCATTTCTACTCGTCTGTGGTCTGTCCTTTTGGGTGCCGCTCACACTGAGGAGGTGGGGTCTGGGAAGGGTCAACTACTCAGCTAGAAAAGGCTGCAGGTGGGATTCCACTCAGGTGAGTCCTGGGTGCCACCTGCCATCCCCCCACACACACTGAATGTCCCCTGGACACTGATGAGTCACGGCTGGAGTACTGGACCAGCTCATTAGATCAGACCCACAAGTCTAGCCTCACCTGGTGCTCACAGTTCCTCCTTCACCTCCTTCAGAGCGTCCTCCATGGTCAGCCGGGCGGGCCTGTGGTGCCTGATGTACTGTGGGGTGGAGGACAGACAGGGATGTGTCATCACAAGGGCCTCAGCCTCCTGGGGCTTTGGGTGCCGAAGACAGTGCCTGTCCCAGCAGTTCCTGGTCAGGCTGACAAGAAAAATGATGGGATGCCATCTGGCAGTGCTGTGGGGACAGAAGAGAGATGAGCCCTGGCTGGCCGGCTGCATCTGGAAGGATGGGCTGCATCGGGAAGAAGAGCCTCGGTGCCACCCCCAGGACGTGGGCCCCGCACAGGCGCTGAGGGGCCACGGGGGCTGCGGGCAGGCCTCGCGGTCAGCTGGCTTCGGCCTGCATCCAGTCAACAGACCGACATCCAGCTGAGGCGCAGACAGGACCCCACAGGGGAGCGACCAGCCCAGGCTGGAACGTGGGATGCAGTCAGGCAGACAACCTGCTTGCTTCAAAAAGGAAACTGCAAGAAAACAAAGATGACGGAAGGGGGAGGCCTGCAGAGCAGTGACTCTTAAAGCAGGTCCCCAGTGAGCTGCCCTGCTGCCAGCAGCCCGGGCAGCCGCCACCCGGGGGGCCGGACGCTGCTCGGCTGAGAACCACTGCCCCAGGTTACGAGGCTAAAGACTGGAGACAGTCCTCATGTGCCAACTGTGTCTGGGCCCCAGGGGAAAAACAGAAACAAAATGTTCAGTTTTTATGAGACAAGTGGAAATCTGAACCTTGGATGTCCAACCGTATGAAGAAAAGTTAATTGGGTTTGGTACGATAATGGTATTAGGACTTTTTAAAAAGTCCTTTTTTTAGAAACACGTACTGAAATATGGGTAAATAAAATACAAATATAGAACAGTTCATATAGTATGATGCCATTTCTATAAAGAAATACACATTATATATACCTATTGTAAGTTTATATTGTATAATGTAATATATTACACATAATATAGTTCATATTTTATATTAAAAATGTAAAGAATATATCAAGCTGCTAATAGTTACCTGAAATTAGAGGATTTTGTACGTTACATATTTCTGATAGGGTTTTGTAAGTTACATATCTGTAACTTTTTATAAAATAACATTTTGTGTAACCAGACAAAAATAAAATTTTCAGAGGGAAAAAGGGAGGCGAGTGTGACATCCCTTGAGCTTCACCCCTTGGAACCGAGAAGGGAGACCCCGGCTGGGTGGTGCTGGGGAAGGGTCAGTGGAGGGACAGCACCCTCCCTGAGGGCACTTGGTCCGAGGGCACTTGGAGGTGTGTCAGCCTCAGCGCATGGCAGGCCGGCTGTCAGCACCCCCACCCCACACTGGCTTTTGTCGTGGACAAGAGAGAAGAGATTCCTTTTGATAGGACAGAAAGTGACTGGGCTCAAGCATCCCTGATGCCCTGGGCGGGAGTGCTGTCCCCGCGGCCAGAGCCCTGCCTGCCCTCCCTGTCCCAGGAATGGGTAGCTGTGCTTCATCACCTCTTTGGTTTCCTCCAAGGTGTGGTAGTGGAATGAGTCTTGGTCCAGGGACTGCAGGAGGGTCCCGTGCAGGTGCCGGCTGGCCTCGATGAACTGCTGCGTCAGGCTCAGCTGCTGCTTCAGCATGTCATTGAGTGCGAACACAGCTGGGCTGTAAGCTGTCAGGGCTGCCCCACACCAAGTCACTGAGCAGCCCCAGCTCGTCCCCCAACCGTTGCCTTCCTCCCTGCCCCCCCGCCCTTCCCACCCTATTCCCCGCCCCCCCCCGCCCCGCCCCGCCCCCGTCCTGTGTTGGGCACCGCCTCTTCCCTTTACAGAAGTGAGGCTACCTTGGGAAGTACTTAAGGTCTCACTTATTCAGTGTCTGTCTCTAGTAAATGAACTGCCTTCTACTGACGAGTCTAGAAGGCTCAGCTCTTGGCAGAAACAGAAGTCTTCACCTCCACACCCAACACAAAGGTTAGTAAGTTGACACCCAAAAGGTGCAACCGCACAATGTGAATCTAAGACTACTGAACGTTCCACTTAAAAATGGGGGTAAATTTGATGCTGCATTTTTAAACATAACTAAAAATTAAATTTTTAATTAGAAATACAATTAGAAATAAAAACTTCAAGCGTTAAAAATTATCATTATTGCCATGACAGGCATGACTCAGTGGGCTGAGTGTTGTTCCGCAAACTGAAAGGTTGCCAGTTCAATTCCCAGTCAGGGCACATGCCTGGGTTGCGGGCCAGGCCTCCAGTTGGGGGCATGCGAGAGGCAACCCACGGATGTTTCTCGGTCTCTCTTTCTCCCTTACTTCCCCTCTCTAAAAATAAATAAGATCTTTTTAAAAATCATCATTATTAAAACTATAGAGTAACATGGGAAAATCTTTGAGATTAATGTTAAGCTTTTTAAAATCTTTTTTTAAACATGTAGACATTTCATTTGTTATAGTCAGTGTATTTCAATATCTTCATCTTTTAAAAATGTTAACTAAAATGGGAACAAAAATAGCAGGTACTTGCTGCTGTTATGAGAGCCATCAGCGGCCCAGGGGGATCTGGCTTTTGGGTGACTGTTGAGTGCCCTCCTCCTGCCCCAGGCAGGGCGGGGCCTTCCCAGGCCCCACAACTGCCCCAGACTCAGCAGGGAGGCAGGGCCCTGTCCACCTGGCCGGCAGCCTCGAAGTACTAGTGTCTTCAGAGAAACAAAAACGGATTCTGGATAAAAAGACTCAAAGGGAAACATAAAATAAAAATAGCCTTGTTGGATGGAGGGGCTTAGAAGTGTGTTACTTATAACCTTCCTCTTTTGTCTGACACTAGTGTCCTTTGGTGAGACATACCAAACCTTCTTGGACACTCAGTCTGCCATCTGGGACCCTAGAAACTGGCAGCTACCTGTGACAGTCTTTGCCAACGGATTCCCCAAACCCTGTGCTAAAGGCAGTGCCACACATCCAAGGATGGGTATGAATTTGCAGGTAAAATTCATCCCTCACTGCAAGGACCCCCGAGTTGGGCTATTACCTTCTATTGCATCCGCGTTGACCACATGACTAGCGATGGGTGCAGGGTCCACGTAGGCACTTCCCAGGGCTGGCCCAGTGGTCGCCATGCCAGCCACTGTCCCAAGGACAAACGGAGAGAGGGTGAGTGGCAGGATTTGGAGCAATGGCTATTGTATGGCTAAGCTCCCTCAATCTAAATGAACCCACTGGGGAGAATTACACCCCCTTGCCCAGTCCAGGGTGTCATCTAGATGAGACAAGGGAGCAAGACAATGTTTAAAGGAAAGGAAACTTTCTGTCCAGAAGGGCCAAAGCCAACACTGGAGACAAGAGAAATGTCTGGAAAGTCACACTGGGCATGAAGAGAAGGGTCCCCTGCACCACAGAAGAGAATCCACCCAAACACACCAAACAGACAACCAGCTGGCCTGGCAATGCGACGGCCCTCAGAGACCCTGCACTGGGTCCCATGAGCTGCTTGTAGAAACTCTGTCCCAGAAGGTAGCTTCTGTCTCAACGCTGTCCCCAGGCTCACAGACGTTTGCTGGGGCCGTCCTGGGCACTGCGTGATGTTGAGTAGCATTCCTGGCCTCCACCCCTAGACTGTTACCCAGCTGTCACAGCCAAAGATGGCCCCAGGCCTTGCCAGTGTCCCTGGGGTTCAGAATCACCCCAGTTGAGAGCCACTGCCTTAGTCCTCAATTCTGGCTTCTTTCATGATGTTTGGGAGCTCAGGAGAAAAGAAAACCCCCAGGGCTGGGGAAGAGGCAACCAGGACACCAAGTCCCCCCCAGCGAGTTAAGGACAACGACCAGACCTCCAGACCCTAGTGCTCCTTGTCACACTTTCAAGGACGCCCACAGTGCACATCCTGAGTGCCTGCCACTGCTGCCATGGCCTGCGTCACCCTCCTTGGGCCCTCAGGCCACATGCTTACCCTTCGTCCACTGGTAGGTGAAGGCGGGGTCGAGGGTCTGCACAGCCTTCTCCTTCACTATGACTCTCGTCACATCCTGGGCCCACATTTTCTGAGACACGCATGTTGGTGGGGGATGGTCTGTCCTCAGGCTTACAGAGCGCTCAGACAAAGTGGCCAACGTCCTGTCTGGAGACTCCCCAGAATGGGTCGTTGGCTCTGATGCTGTCAGACTTGGGGATTTCTCGAAATCGTCCGAATAAGCCAGGCTCCCCATGCTGGCTGCAGGGGACTCAGATGTCGGCCTCAGGCTGGAAGCATGCCGGGGCCCCGCAGAGGAGGCCGACGGCTCACTCAGGTGCTCCGAGACCTCGTTTCCAGTCGGGGGACCCCAGGTCCAGCAGCTTTTGCGGGATGCCTTTTCCCCCTGACCTCCTTTCTGAAATGAAGGACAGCAGAGATATCTGGGCAGTGTTCTCGAATGAGGAACATGCTCCAATACCACCGCCTTAGGGTGAGGTGCAGGCTACCCCTGGGGGCCCAGCAGGCGAGGGACCACACTGATCCTTCATGAGATTTGGGTGGGCGGAGTACGTGAGCAGGACGCTTGAAACGCTTGAGCAGGGGCTGCTGCACTTGTCGCTCATGGTCTGAGTACGTGAGGGGAGCACACGAGGGACATCTGTTAAAGTGTCATTATTGTATATTATTAGAACGTGCCTTGGACAGTGAGGTCACTAACATGGCAAGAATCCAGCGGAGCACTGGAACAAGCCAGGCAGCTGTTGCTGCGGGGCAGTTTAAATGGGGCCCGCTTTAAGCACCTGCAGGATTAAGGACTTCGCCTGGTGACCGTGGCCGTAAGGGTCTTTCCTGTGGCACTCGACGTTTGAGACCTAAACATTCTCCGCAGTGGCGCTGAGCGGCGTCCAGCCCAGCCGCCACCAACTCAACGTCAGCAGCGCACCACACCCCAGTCGTGACAACCAAAAAATGTCCCCGAGTATCCCCTGGCAACACAATCGCCCCCAGTTAAGAACCTTTGACCTAAATGAAGTGAAAGAGTTGCAGGCCTTTCTACATAATGACCTACAGGGAAAAATTAGATAGTTGTACTTACTTTCTGTTCTAAGTCTGATTTCTCACTGACAGCTGGAGCCAGATCATCAAGGGATAAAATATTTATTCTAAAATCTGTAATTAAAAATGCAACATGACAATATTTACTCACTTATTTAGTCCATAAATGTTAACCACCATGTGGCAGGCTAAGCACTAGGGACAGGAAGACAGGGAAACATGACGCCCTGCCCCGTGGCCTGGGGCTTTCTCTCCAAAGAGTTAGATAGTAAATATTTTTATCTTTGCAGGCTACACTGTTTCTGTCCCAAATAGTCAGTCAGGTCGGTCATTCTGGTGTGAAAGCCACCAGGGTCTAAGTGTAAACAAATGGGTGTGTCTGTGTTGATAAAAACTTATTTATAAAAACAAACACTGGGTCTCCTGGGCCTGTGTTTAGACAGATGAGTAGAGGACACCTCGCAGTGAAGGATGCACGGTGACAAGTGAGCTTGAGGTATAGGGGTGGGAGGGACACGCCAGCCTCTGGGGGAGATGGGAGGAAGGCTGAAGGGCCGAGGGGAGTGGATCCTCAGGCAGGTGTGACACTGGGTCCCAGGCATCCTATGTTCTCATTTAAAGCAAGTTAAGAACGCGGGAGCCGACACCAAATGAGCATTTTGGCGTCCCAGCTGGCCCATCACCAAGGCCTGACGAAGTGGGTGCTGACGACTGTTAAGCAGGGCGCCCCCGGTGGGAAGCAAGAGCTGGAGGTGGGGGAGAGAAGCAACTCAAGCCGCCCGCCCTCTCCGGAAAGCACAGCCGAGGGGGGATACCCTACGCCGTTCTCCACCCACCCACATCCCAAACCGGATCCGACCCGGCCCATCATCCCAGTCTGAGGGCTCACCCTTCACCCAAGCTCCTCTAACACGGACTGTCACCTCAATTCATACGGCAGGTAGGTCCGAACATGCGCTCATGGACAAAACCTCTGAACTGAGCCATCCCAGCCGGCCCGGAGCGAGGGCCACCAGGGAAGTCGTGGACTTGAGCCCTTTGGGACAGTGTTGGCACCGGCCGAGGACTAACGTTACTGTCACAGCAGCCCAGCCCATCCTTAAATGCGCGCACTGACTGTGGATTTCACACGCCTCATCTCACCGACCTGGCTCTGCCCCACTTTACAAATGAGGAAACTGAGGCACGGAAAGGCTAAGACCGCACAACCAATAGCCGGCGGGGCCAGGATGTCCACCCCAGGTATGTCAGCCCCAAACTCAGACTTGTGCTCACCACCCGCTGCTGCCTCCCGCCCTGGAGGCTGCACCTGGATGAGGGAGGGTGGGGTCTGGCCACCAGGACAGACCCCCCAGGCCAGCAGTGGGGCCAGGCTGGCGAGGACTCCCACGTACCAGCCCCTCAGGCCCAAGGATCCCGGCCAGTATCGGCCAGGCACTCGGCAGTGGCGTTGGGCAGACGGCAGACGGCAGGCCCTGGAGGGGCGCAGGGAGGTGTTCTCATATCCACAGCCTAAATAAACCCTGTCCCACTGCATTCTCTGACCCTAACCTGGACAGGTGGCAGCGGTGGACCCTTGTTGGCAGCCCTTCTCCCGCCCCCACCCCACAGGGCAGCCCTGTCGCAGGGGGCCGCGTGTTACCATTCGGGCTGCCGTCGGAGGCTTCCGAGAGCGGCGCCTGCCCAGGCCCAGCCTCCCTTCTTCCGCGAGAGGACGACAGCCGGCCACGTGCCATCCTCGAGGGCACTGAGTTGGACACAGTGCTGGCGGCGGATTGCGATGACACCACGCTGAATGCTGTGTCCCCGGGAATGGGAGTCTGTGGGGAGCGGGCTCGTCCACACGTGCTGCGAAGGGTCGCATCTGCTGAGTGGAGGGTTGGTGGACGTGATGTCCTGAGTGACTTTTGGCTGGAAAGTTCCTCACTGGGTAGTGAAAGGAGTTTTGGTTGTGTTGAGATCTGATCCTACTTCGGTGGAAATTAAAGAGACAGAATTACCAAGCGTGTGATAAAAAGTCCTTATCATTAGACAATGTGGCCAGTAGGGCGCAAGCCACACGCAGCAGTATCTTCCCGGATCATATATTTATCCTTCAGCAGCCCTTTCTCTCCTCTCCTCTCATATCTGGAAGTCCAGGTACAACATTTAGATAAGATAATGTTAGAATTAGAAATACTCCACAAATAATCAGAAATATCATTTTGATTCAAGTGCACGTTGTTAATTACACATTTCTAAATGAAGGCCCCTAGGTACATGATCTGTGACAGCTTAGACCTTCAACACAACCAAAATGAATGTGCAGAGGGTTTCCCCATAAAACTCAGCCTTCCCAGCACTTAGCATCCACTGGGATGGCTATTATCCAAAACCAGAAAATAAGTGTTGGTGAAGATGTGGAGAAACTGGAACCCTCATATACTGCTGATGGGAATGTAAAATGGTGCAGCCGCTGTGGAAGACAGTTTGGTTATCAATAAGTTACATATAAAATTACTACAGGACCCACTAATTCTACTCTGCGGAATATACCCAAAGGAGCTGAAAACAGAGACTCAGATACTTGTACGCAAATGCCCACAGCAGCAGGATTCACAATGCCCCAAAGGCAGAAACAACCAAAATGTTCATCAATGGATTAATGGGTAAGATGTGGCCCATCCACATAGTGGAATATTACTCAGCCATGAAAAGGAACAAAGCAGTGACACAGGCTACGATGTAGTGAACCCTCAAAAACATCATGTCGAGTGAGAGAAGCCAGACACAAAAGGCCACATGTTGTCTGATCTCATTTACATAAAATGTCCAGAACAGGCAAATCCATAGAGACAGAAAGCAGATTGGTGGTTGTCAGGGGCCGGGGGCGTGATTAATGGCTATAAAGACTCCTTTAGGGGTGATAAAAATGTTCTGGAACTAGATGGAGCTTGCAGTTACAAAACATCGGGAAAGTACTACCAGTAAATGCCACTGAACACTTCATTTGAAAATAGTTAATTTTATGTGAATTTCATCTCAGTTAAAAAAATGGAAATGCGGCTTCCCAAGTTAATGATTCCTGTGTGATACAAATTACAAGGAGGGACGGCTCGCCTATGGCACTAACCACTGCTGGTGTTCAATCAGTCATACAAAGTGCTGTCCTGTGATGTACACAGTTACAGTTAGCGCAAAACTGCCTAGAAGTCCCAAATTCCATCCCCTACAGGGCAGGCCTGCAGCAGGTAGCTGTGACTGTCTGAAACCCAGCCTTTCCTCGTCAAACCCTTTCCCCAGAGAGCTTCTGGGAGATGACTGCTATCAAAAGTCTTCAGCATTGAGGCATAAAGGTACAAACGCAAAGGCTTTGTTGAAAATAAATACACACAAACCTTACCGAAAATAATTCTGTTTGTTCTTTCTCATGGTCTCTGGTGCCGGTGAAACCCTGATTCGTGGGTGTTTCTTTTTCTCTAAAGGATTCCATCAAGCTTCCCAACAACTCCTTCATTTCCTCTTCATCACTGTCTGGAGAATCCAATTTTCTAGTAGGTTCTTTCTCTTTGGGTATTGAAAAGTTCCTCTCTTTCCCAAAATGGACTTCGGGGGATAGCTTTCCAACAGGGGGCTCTCTCTTCTTTAGAAACCTACTGGCCTTCCCACTTGGCACGCTGCTCTCAGTGACAGGAGCTTCACAGGCCTGCTTCTGGGCGGTTTTGTGTGTATTCTGTGAAGAAAGTTCAACTGTGCTTCTGGGAGGAATTTTGTCTCCTCTCTGGGGAAGATCGTCTTCGGAGGTCTTTGAGTCCGATTCCACGTCAGACAAGTCCATCTGTACCTTCCGATTCTTGACTTTTGACTCGATCTGGGCCACCCTCCTGAGCGCAGCGCTGGTTCTGAGCCTCGAGGCAGTGGTCAGGGGTCTGCCCAAGGACAGCCATGGCCCGCTCCCCAGGCTAGGATCCTCTTTCAGGAATAAGTGGTTTTCACCCATAGTTTGGCTTCTTTTTAGAAATCTGCTATGACTGGGAGCTCTTTTGGTAAGATTCCTACCGATTTTCAAGTTTCTGACTTTTTCCATCTTGGAATCTTCTAAGGAAACATCATTGAAATCACCAAAGATATCATGCATGGGATGTCTGTTTTTTCTTGTAGAAGCTATCCTAGGAAGAAAGAAAACTTATAATAAGAATACCTTGTGTTCATACACTTCATTCAAATCTCTCAGTGTTTCCCACCAGCCCAGGAGAGCTCAGATCCCCCTTTGGCCTGACAGAGCCTCCCCTCCAAGCCTGATGATGACAAGGGAAACGATCAGACACTCGGTACCGCTTAATGAACCACTGTCCAATGCCAGGGCTTAAATGAGATGTTACATATGAAACACAAGAGCCAGCGCTTCTCAGGCTCCAGCAGTGCGCCCGGCCCTCTGCTCAGAACCGCACTCTCTCATTGAGGTCTCAGGCAACCCTGCAAGTCAGCTGTTGTCACCCCCCTTTCATACAGGAGATGGAGAGAAAAAAGCCCCCACAGGTTAGGTCACCAGCCATGGTCATCTGGCCGGTGAGCACCTGAGCCAAATTCAAAGCTCAGGTGCAGTTCCACAGAACGCACTCTTCCTGGCTGGGCTTCCCTGCCTCGCAAGTCACTCTCCCCTGCACCGAGCGAGGCCTGGTCCCGACTGCACCCAGGCCGGGGCTCCTCTTCCATCCGAGTGTCCTCAGCTCTCTAACGACGAGCTGCTAAAACACAGCCTATGTATCTGAGCTTCCCAGAAAAATGTATTTCGCTTAACGTGTGAGAACCGCTGCCCTGGAAGAAGCGATGGCTAGGGGCAGACAGCGCCCCCGCCGAATGTCGCCCGTGTGTTGAGTGCACGTGCTGGTGCAGAATTTTTCTGCGGGGGAAGGGCCAGAGCTTTCATCATATTCTGAGTTCCTGCATGTCCCTGAAGAACAAGAACAATCCACTGCAAGATTTACAGAGGTTTCAAAAGATTTTAAAGATATAAAAAGATGGAGGAGTAGGTGGGTGTGGATTTGCTGCAGCCCTTTACTGAGGCACTCGGCACCAGCAATGAAAATGTGAACCTCATAGATCTCCTGAGCCGGCACTTTCACATCTGGGAATTTACCTGTAATTATATTCTCAAATGCACACAGAGATGTATCAAGGACTGTTATGGCAGCATTGTTTGTACTCATCAAAAACCCAAACCCACCCATGGAGACCTGGTAAGGTCCAGGAGATGGCATTTAGATGAAGGACTGCTATACAGCTATTAAAAGGAATGAGGGAGACCTGTGTACCTAATAATGTCTCCAGCATAATAACAGGAGGCAGAAGAGATGTGACGCGGAACTGTGCACCGTCTCCATAATGTGCTGAAACAGCGTCAATAGCTATCTTTTGAAAGGATTTTTTTCCCTACGTAGCAGAAAGAAAGAAAGTACTACTACTCTTCGCAACAGCATGGACGGAACTGGAGAGCACTATTCTAAGCAAAATAAGCCAGGGGATGGAAGACAAATGCCATCTGATTTCACCTGTACGTGGAATCTAATCTACAAAACAAACAAGCATGAGAAATATAACCGGCCACATTGAAAGAAAAAACAAACCGAAGGTAACAAAACAGGAGGTGGGAGTGGGGAACAGGGAAAAGAAGGGGAAGGGTCAAGCCAAGGAACATGTATAAAGGACCCATGGACAAAGCCAACGTGGGACAGGATTGAGGGTGGGAGGTGGAGGTGGGGGGGACAGGGGAGAGTGGTGGCGGGAAGGTGGAGACAAATGTATTTGAACAATAAAAAAATAATTTAAAAAAAAAGAGAGAGAAAAAACCCAATTTATTCTTAATCTTCACCCGAGGATATGTTTACTGATTTTAGAGAGAGAGGAAAAGAGAGACAGAGGGAAACATCATCGGTTGTCTCCCATACATACCCTGACCCCCGGGGGCATCCAGCCCGCAGCTGAGGGATGTGCCCTGACCAGGAATCAAACCCGCAGTCCTTTTGGCATGCAGGACAATGCTCCAACCAACCCAGCCACCTGGCCGGGGTTCAAAAGCTAACTTTATTAACATTTTTGTAGTTGAGGCTCAGGAGATGACTCAGCCCAGGCCATTCTGTGGGCCAGCGGGCATGCCCCCGAACCAGGCTGGGTTTTCTTTTCCCTAGGTTTAAAAATAAACCAATAGGAAAATAGTTAAAATGGCAAATTTTATGTTACATACATGTTACCACAACTAAAATAGACATATTTAAAATACACACAATTAGGACTGGCTGGGTGGCTTGGTTGGTTAGAGCATCCTCTGGATGTGCTAAGGTTGCGGGTTCGATCCCCAGTCAGGGTGGGTGCAGAATCAATCTGTGAATGCATGGATGGGAGGAACACCAAATCAATCTCTCTCTGTCTCTCTCTCTCTCTCTCTCTCTCAAATCAATATTTTTAATTTTTTAAAATAATTTAAAATACATGCAATTAAAAATAAATCAATAGGCAAAGGTCACGAACAGACATTTCTCCAAACAGGATACACAAATCATCAAGCCTATGAAAAAATGTTCAATATCACTAGCCATTTAGGGTAATGTAAATCAAAACAACCATGAGATCCCACTTCACACCCACTAGGATGGCCATAACAAAAAAATACAGATAAAATCTAGCATTGGTGAAGATGTGAAGAAACCAAAACCCTCATACACTGTTGGGAGGAGAAGAGGGTGCCGTCACCAATTTAGAATACGGTCTGGTAGTTCCTCAAAAGGTTAGCCATAGCTACCAATGATCCAGCAATTCCACTCCATGTGGCCCGAGATAAATGAGATATATGCAAATATTCGTAAGTTATTACCCATAATAGACAAAAAATGAAAACAATCCAAATGTTCATTAATTAGAGAATGGATGAGAACTGAAGCCCATTCATACAATGAAATACAATTCAGCAATAAGAAAGAACAAATACCAATACACACAATAGCATACATCTCAAACACGTTACACTAAGTGCAAGTAGCCAGATGCAAAATACCACACACTGTATGATTCCGTTTATAAGGACTGTCCAGAAAAGGCAAATCTATCGATTCAGAAAGCACACCAGTGGTTGCCTGGGGCTAGGAGTGGACGCGCGGAGGGACGGCAAAGGGACAAGAGGGATCTATCTCCTTGGAGTGTTGCGAAGTTCTACAACTGGATCGTGGTGGATGGCTGCAAGACTTGTAAAGTTTACTAAAAATAATGGAGTTTTGCACTTAAAAGGCATGAACTGTATGGTATGTAAGAGAATCCTCAATAAAATTGTTAAAAATAAACAAACTTTGAAAACACTGACGCCCCTCAGACCACCGGGGTCTTTCCCCACGGCTGGAGCGACCCACGTCGGACCACAATCCCAAGTGGATCCAGCCAGGGAAACTAGGGCACGACGGCCGGGTAGGGGCTGCCCTCCCGCCGCCCTGCCAGCTCAGCTCCTCCGGAGCGCGCCTCGTTTCCCCGCAACTCTTCTCCCAGGCCCGGGCGCCACCCAGCCAGCCCTGCAACCTCCTCTCACGATGTCCATCCGTGGAGGCCCACGCTGCTCTCGCCCGGCCACTCAGACCTGAAAGGACCGTTGCCCCCGGCAACCGCGCCTGGACCGAAGAGACTACATCTCCCGGCCTGCCCCGCGCCCCAGGGACCAATAGCACTTCAGGTCACAATCGCGGGGTGTCTTGGGAGTGGCACAACCGTGCGCCGTGACCAGTGATGCCTTAGATCACAATCGCGAAGTGTGACGGGTGTGGTAGTTCAGGGTCTGGCACGGCTCGCCGCGGACACCGCTGGGAACTAAGGGGCGGTTAGCAGAATTTCCGCACAGTCTTCCATGGCCGTGGCTCGGGTCTTCCTCTGCGCGTTATGCGTGCTGCGTGTGGCGCTGGCCGCCGTCTACTTCCAGGAGGAGTTTCCAGACGGAGGTGAAGGGGCGACACCCGTGGTGGCGGGGCCGTAAACTTCCCGGTTCCGTGCTGCCCAACGGATGGCCCGAGTCGCTTTTGGCCCACGACCCAGATTAAGTTTTCAGCGCTAACTGGTTTTGTTTCGTCCCACAGAGCGCTGGAGGAACCGATGGGTGCAATCCACTAATGACTCCCAGCTTGGGCATTTTAGACTCTCATCAGGAAAATTTTACGGCCATAAAGAGAAAGACAAAGGTTAGTTTAGGGTGCCTGAGAAAATTAAGCTAAATGTTAGATTCCCCATAGCAACCGTTCAAGGTAGGTGTGGCTCGCCCCTAAGCTCCTACTCGCATTCACAGGTTAGGAAACTAAAGCTTGTGTAGGGTCTGGCGTTTTCTCTCTCCCTTTTTTAACTTGCCCAGAGCGCCCCGTTTTGTATGCACTACAGACACTCCTGGGTCTTGCCCTGAGGAGGAAAAAAGAGAGGATACCTAATTTTTTTTTTTTCCATTTTAAGAAGAAAAAAAAAAACCCGAGGTAAAGTTAAGTGCTATCAAGTGTACAGGTTTTACGAGGTACAACAGGGTGAATGTTTACATCTGTACACGGATCAAGCTAGGGAACATTTTCAGCCCACCCAGAGGCCTCCCTTTATACCCCCACCCTCCAAGTCAGTAGCCTCTTGGTTCCAAGACAACCTCAATTCTGACTTTTTCTCATTCCTGATGATGAAAGGTAGAGAAAATACAGCTCATCTCCCACCTGTGTTTGTTTGGGGGTTTTTTGCTTGTTTTGTTTTTTTGGTACATCCAGCAAGCTGAGAATGGTTTTTACACTTTTTAATCATTGGGGGAAATCAAAAGAGGAATAGTATCTTGTGACACTTAAAAATAATATAAAAGTCAATGAAACAAAATTTCAATGTCCATAAATAAAACTTTTTATATTTTTAAAATTTATTTTAGAGAGACATTAATCTGTTGTTTATGCATTCATTGGTTGATTCTCATATGTGCCGTGATGGGGGAAGGAACCTACAAGCTTGGCATATCAGGAGGATGCTCTAACCAACTGAGCTACCCAGCCAGGGTTAATAAAGCTTTCCTGGAACATCGCCATGCTCACCGGTTTGCATACAGCCTGTAGCTGCTTCCTTACTGCAAAGGCAAAACTGAGTAATTGGGACAGAGACCAAGTGGCTGACAAAGTGTAGAATACTCATATTCTGTCCTTACAGAAAAAGTTTGCTGACTCCTGATTTAGATGAAAAATTTACCTCTTCACCATCTTCCATTCAACCTTTATCTTGGCCCTGTTACTCCAACGTTGCCCTCCCTGTCTGGCAGCCTCTGGTTTTCAATTGTATCTGCAGTGTTTTATAAGTTACATGTTGACCCAAAGAGTTGGTCAGAATTCAGTCCATATGACAGAAAAATGGAGTGAAAACAAACAGGTGATTCTGTGAAGCTTGTCGAAGGATAGGGATTCCCACTTAGAGTCACTTGGGTTTTTCCACAGTGTTTTCCTTTCCTTCAAGCTGGAATCCTGAGATTCTGTGTATGTCATTCCTTCCAGCACACGTCTGCTGAGTGCAGGCATGGGGAAGGCACTGAGGATACAGGTTAATTTGGTCCCTCCTGTTGCAGTCTCCTGGGACTGTGATACAGAAGCCACTGTTGGAAAAATAAGTAGAATTCAGTCAGACAGAGATGGGAGATGGCGAGAGGCCATGGGGGTGGCTGAGGAGGGTGTTAAGATATGGAGGGAGATGGTGAAGCATATGCCCTTAGGAATTGCCTCAGTGGAAGGGGCCAAGGGAGGAGGAGGGGCTACAAATCCCCCGGCAAAGGGAAAGGTGAGGAAGGAATGGAAGACACCAATAGAGGTGTGGAGGTGTGGTAGTAGGGCGTTCAGCCATGAGTTCAGGATGTATTGGTACAAATGCCAAGTTCATTTACGATGACTCTCAGCAATGGCAGCTATTGAAGCCAGAGTATGGAGCAAGGAGGGGTAGGGTATAATAAGACTGGCTGTATTTTCAGGTTTGTTTGATGAATTCCAGTATAAGATAAGGAGTTGGTACAGAGCCTAGTAGCTACTGAAGAGGGGGTTATAGTATTGACATGAACACCTAAATTTACGAAACAATTACAAGATGACTCACATGACAAAGGAGGGTATCTTCATAAAAGGATGAAACCCATGGGCCAGCTCACCCAGTGCAATGAAGCACTTCCTTACAGCCCGGCACTCTGTCCTCCACCTGCTGTTGTGCCTCTTGAGTCACTTTTAAGAAAAGAATTGAGAAGTAGAATGCTGTGTTTTTTAATTCAGTTGCTACATAATCTTCCTTGTATATTCCCACCCCTTGGAAGATGAATGGAAGCAATATGAACCTTTTATTTATAATTAGAATGCATGTTTGTCATTCAGAGCTGAAGTGTTTTTACAACAGAAGACATCGGTGGTATATTAAGTACAAAAGCATCTGAGAGTGTCAAATAGAAGTTCTGTGGCATCAGAGAACCTGTTAGCGGGGTGCACGTTGTATGTTACTGCACACATGAGCTATGGGCACTGGATGGATGGGAGTGGTTAGGAGGTTTATTATTGGAAGACGGGAAAAAGGCAGTCGTTTAATTCCTTGCCTCACTGGGCAGCATGTCATTCCTAATCTTTCATGAGTGTTTTTTGTTTGAAGGTCTGCAAACCACTCAAAACAGCCGATTCTATGCCATCTCTGCACGGTTCAAGCCGTTTAGCAATAAAGGGAAGACACTAGTCATTCAGTACACAGTGAAACACGAGCAGAAGATGGACTGTGGAGGGGGCTATGTTAAGCTCTTCCCTGCGGACGTGGATCAGAAGAACCTGAGTGGAAAGTCCCCTTACTATATTATGTTTGGTGAGTTCCGGTAGTCCAATGCAGCCATTTCTGGTGACTTTGCAAACCTTCCACCTTGCAGGATCCTTAGACTAAAATTGCTAAAATAGTAGTATTGAGTTTGTCTGACCAAAGGTTTTTAGTACTGTTAAATCTATTTAATATTATCAAAAGGGAACCATACCATTCTATTATGCTTTTGAGAAAGTTCTTTACTTAACATTAATGTAAGTATAAGTATTGTGAGTGTATCAGGAGTCAGAAAACCTTGCCCATGGATCAAACCAGCCCACAGCCTGTGTGTCTGTATAGCCCATGGGCTGAGAATGGGTTTTAACATTTTTGAATTACTGAAAAAAAATTGTAAGAAGGATGAGATTTTGGCCACGTGAAAGTGATACGAAACTCAAACTTCAGTGTCCACAGGTGAAGTTTTATTGGGATGCAGCCTCACTCAGTTCATTTGCATTTGTCTAGAGCCACTTTCTAGCAGGAAAGGCGGAGTTGAGTCATTGTAGCAGAGACCATATGGCCCCCAAAGCCAAAAACATTTACTGTCTTGCCCCTTGCAGAAAAAGCTTGCCAACCCTGGAATATATTAAATGTCTCCTGACACCAGGGGAACTTGATTAAAATTTGTGCTAGGCCCTGACTGGTGTGGTTCAGTGGATTGAGTGCCAGCCTGCAAACCAAAAGGTCACCAGTTCGGTTCCCAGTCAGGGCGCATGCCTGGGTTGTGGGCCAGGTCCGCAGTTGAGAGGTAACTGATTGATGCATCTTTCACACATACGTGTTTCTCACCCTCCCTCCCTCCTTCTTTCCCTTCCCCCCTCTAAAAATAAAGAAATAAAATCTTTTTAAAAATCTATAAAAAAATACAATAAAATTTGTGCTGGAATGGAAAGAGACCACATTGGGTCACAGGAACTAGACATAATTTAAGTGTGTGGATCAAAAAGCTTTACAAATGAAGAGGATTCTGGGAAGACGGCAGAGTAGAAAGCACCAGGAATCTGTCTCCCCACCTAGACAACAATTGTATTGGCAGAATCTGCCGGATTTAAATATGTTGGGACTCTGGAGTCTGTGGAAGGATTGCAGCTTCCAGGCGGACTCTGGGAATGTTGATTTCAGTCCACTTCAGCCTTTAGCACCTACCCATCTCCTGCCCCTAACCACGGACAGCTGTGCGAGTATTCTGGAGCAGCTTACATGCAGCTTGCAGGGGCCAAAGTGGGCCAAAAGGACTCTGCCCTCCAAACATCAGGGTTCTCAGCTCTGATCACTGGTTTTTGCCTCTGGCCACAAAGGTGCAGACAAAGCGATGGGCAGTCGTCATTGTACCTCCCCTCGCTGTTGTAATCCTCTCCTCTTCCAGCGAGAGTGACTTCCAGGGGAATTAAAAGGCCAGCACCCTTCTCTCCTCTCATTTTTTACCTTTTTTCCTTAGAAAGTTAGACATTAAAGACTGAGACATTGAAAACAAAAACAAAAAACAAACAAACAACTGCAGCCCTGGCCAGGTAGCTCAGTTGGTTAGAGCATCGTTCAAATACGTCAGGATTGTGGGTTCGATCCCCAGTCAGGACACATACAAGAATCAACCAATAAATGCATAAATAAGTGGAACAACAAATCAGTTCCTACCTCTGTCACTCTTCTTCCTTCTCTCTAAAAATCAATAAATAAATTTTAAAAAAGAAAAGTTACTTTTAAAAAAAACTATGCAGGGAAAATTAGAAAGTAAGCACACATGTTCAGGGAAAGACACACAGAAGACCCAAGAAAACCTTAAGTCTACACTTCAGGATGACTCTTGACACAGAGACAGCCTGCAGAAATCGATTTAAAAAAAACGAAAGAGAGGAACGGGGGCAGAGAATATATGGAAAAAATAATGGTTGAAAACTTCTCAAATTTGATGAAATACATAGATGTAAACATCCAAGAAGCTCAAGGGACTCTAAGGTGAATCTGAAGAAACCCACGTCATGACACATAAATATAATCAAATTTTCAAAAGATAGAGAAGTGAATCATTACATACAAGGGATTCTGAATAAGATTATCAGCAGGTTTCTCAACAGGAACTTTCAAGGCCAGAAGACAGTGGGCTGATATATTCAAAGTGCTAAAAGCAGCTGTCAGCCAAGAATCATATTTGGCAAAACTGTCCTTCAAAAGTGTGAGAGAAAGTAAGACATTCCCATGTATGCAAAAGCTGAGGAAGTTCATAACCATTAGACTTGCCTTGCAAGAAATGCTCAAGGGAGTTCTACAAGGTGAAATGAAAGGATACCAGACAGTAACCAATCCTCAAACTTTTCCAAAAAATTGAAGTGGAGGATAGACTTCCTAACTCATTCTATGAAGTCAACTTTGACCTAATACCAAAACCAGACAAAGACACTGTAAGAAAACTAGCTTTTACAAACCTTAAGGCAAACATCCTCAACCAAATACTAGTAGAGGGAATTCAGCAGCACATTAAAAGGATTATATGGATACCATGACCTACTAGCATTTATTCCTGGACTGCAAAGTGGCTTGACATACTAAAATTGGTCAAATGTAATATGTCACATCAACAGAATGAAGGGGGAAAAAATCATGATCCTTACAGTTGATGCAGAAAAAGGTTTTGATAAAATTCAATACCCTTTTAGGATAAAAACCCTCAACAAACTAGGAAACTACCTCAACATAATAGAAGTCATGTGAAAAACCCGCATGATACTCAATGGTGAAACATCATACTCAATGGTGAAAGAATGAAAGCTTTTCCTCTAAGATTAGGACCCAAAACAAGGATGCTCTCTTTCACCACTTTTATTCAACTCAGTGCTGACAGTTCTGGACAGAGCATTTGGTCAAGAAAAAGAAAGGCATCCAAACTAGAAGGGAAGGAGAAAAATTATCTTTATCTTTGTTTTCAGATGACATAACCTTATATGTAGAAAACCCTAAAGATTGCACCAAAAAATCTATTAGAATTAATGAATAAATTCAGCAAAGTAGCAGGATACAAAGTCAAAATGCAAAAAAGAAAGAAAAAACCCCACAAAACAGTTGCATTTCTATAGACGAACAACAATCTGAAAAGGAAATTACAAAACGGTTCCATTTACAATAGCATCCAAAAGAGTAAAATATTTAGGAATTAATATAACTGAGGAGCTGAAAAACTTGTAAAGTGAAAACTACAAACTATTGCTGAAAGAAATTAAGTAAATGGAAACACATCCCACATTTATGGATTGAAAGACTATATTGTTAAAATGTCAGTACTACTCAAAGTGATCTACAGACTATCCAATCACTATCAAAATTCCAATTTTTTTTTGTAGAAGTAGAAAAACCCATCCTAAAATTCACGTGGACTCTCAAGAGACTCTGAACAGCCAAAACAATCTTGAAAAAGAACAAAACTGGAGGATTCAGCCCGTGTCTGTGGACAGGTGGGTGGAAAAACAAAATGTGGTTTATTCTTACATTGGAATATTACTCAGCCTTAAAAAGGAAAGAAATTCTGATTCATGCTACAATATAAACCTTGAAGATATTATTCTATGTGAAAGAAGCAAGTCACAAAAGACCACATGTTTTATTATTCCACATATATGTGTTACTTAGATTTGCCAAGGTCATAGAAACAATGTAGAATGGTGGTTGCCAGGAGCTGGGAAAAAAGAATGATAGGGATTCAGTGTTTAATGGGTATAAAGTTTCCATTTTACAAGATGAAAAATGTGGTAATAGAATAGCAATGATGGTTGCACAACACTGTGAGTGTATTCAATACCACTGAACTGTATAGTTAAAATGGTTAAGGTAGTAGATCTTTTGTGTTTTACAATACAGTAAAAAAAAAAAATGAACATATTTTTTAAATAATTATAGTCCAAATTTTGAGACTTTTTTAAAAAAGATTTATTTATTTATTTTTAGAGAGGGGAAGGAAGGGAGAAAGAGAGGGAGAGAAACATCAGTGTGTGATTGCCTCTTCTACGCCCCCTACTGGGGACCTGGCCTGCAACCCAGGGGTGCGCCCTGACTGGGAATTGAACCGGTGACTCCGGTTCACAGGCTAGCACTCAATCCACTGAACCACACAAGCCAGGGCTGTGGACTCATTCTTTAAAATTCTTTTCCCTCATCTGACACATTTGTCTTGCAGAATTTTTGTTTCCTGTAGTTTTGCCATGCTTATCTCTGTCAGCACCAGGCTGTAGACACCTGGTTATGCTGGCCTTCTATTTATACATACAGCTGGTCATAGTATCATTGTAGAAGTAGAAAGAATATTACATATTCTTTAGACGTTACTAGATATCAGCTTAGTTATTAGATTTAAGTAGAACTCTGCTTGCTCCTTTTGGAGAGCAAGGTGACTTCTCCAAGGCCACAGCATTAGGTAGATTCAGTTTCCATAGACTGCACAGTCCCCAACCCCTCTCCCAGAGTCCTTTCTCCTCTGCTGTGCCTTGCATGTACTCTTTTTTAAAATTAATTAACTATTTTTTTACATTTACTCTTGAGTTTAAAATGTAGACTGGTAGAAGTCTTTATTTAAAAAGAAATTGAAATGTCTTGGGTTTTGTTTTTTGTTATTCTCTTTAAAATGGATGGCAGAAATAGCTGGCAAAAAAATATTACCTGTTGAATTAGAGCTGATTTCACAAAAATTTGGTTTAGTTAGGTTTGGTAGACAAAATCCACCAAAATACTATTTTTAAATATACGTAGGTTTGCTATACCCGAATTGTGAAGCAGCATACTTTGAAGTTTAAAAAAAAAAAGAAATTTTGACTTCCGGCCAAGATGGAGACATAGGTAGATACACTTTGCCTCCTTGCACAACCAAAAGAAGGACAACAAATTTAAAAACAAAAAATAACCAGAACTGCCAGAAAATTGAACTGTATGGAAGTCCAACAACCAAGAAGTTAAAGAAGAAACATTCCTCCAGACCGGTAGGAGGGGTGGAGATGGGCAGCCAGGGCAGAGAGGATGCCATGGTAAGGCAGCAGCTGAAAAACCAAGAGGGCAAGGTGGCAGCTGATGGACCAGGTGGTCCCACATTTATGTGCAGGTAAACTGGGAGGAACAGCTGGGGAGTGAGACAGACCATGCAATCCAGGGTTCCAGTGCAGGAAAAGAAATCCTCAAAACCTCTGGCTATAAAATCCTGTGGGGGTTGCGGCCGCAAGAGAGACTCCCAGTCTCACAGACGAGTCCGTTGGAGAGACCCACAGGGTCATAAAATGTATGCAAACCCACCCACCTGGCAATCAGCACCAGAAGGGCCCAATTTGCTTGTGGGTAGTGGGGGAAGTGACTGAAAGCCAGCCAAGAGCCGAGCAAGTGGCATTGTTCCCTCTTGGACCCCTCCCCCACGCACAGTGTGGACCAGAGTTGCCCCACCCTGGTGAATACCTAAAGCTCCACCCCTTCACAATGTAACAAGCCTGCTGAGACAAAGAAATATGACCCAAATGGAAGAACAGATAAAAGCTCCAAAAATAGAACTAAGTGATGAATAGATAGCCAACCTGTCAGATGCACAGTTCAGAACACTGGTAATCTGGATGCTCACTGAATTGGTTGAGTATGGTCTCCAAATGGAGGGAAAAGTGAAGGCTATGCAAAGTGAAACAAAGAAAAACATACAAGGGAACCAACCGTAAAGGGAAGGAAACCAGGACTCGAATAAACAACTGGGAGCAGAAGGAAGAGATAAACATTTAATCAGAACAGAATGAAGAAACAAGAATTCAAAAAAATGAGGAAAGGCTTAGGAATCTCTAGGACAACTTTAAATGTTCCAACATCTGAATCATCAGGGTGCCAGAAGGAGAAGGAGAAGAACAAGAAATTGAAAACTTACTTGAAAAATGGAGCACTTCCCCCATCTGGCCAAGGAAATAGTCTTCTAGGAGATCCAGGATGCTCAGAGAGTCCCAAAGAAGTTGGACCCAAGTAGGTGCACACCAAAGCACATCATAATTATATTATCCAAGATTAAAGATAAGGAGAGAATCTTAAAAGCAGAAAGAGAAAAGGAGACAGTTACCTACAAAGGAGTTCTCATAAGACTATCCACTGATTTCTCAAAAGAAACCTTGCAGGCAAGAAGGGGCTGGCAAGAAGTATTCAAAGTCATGAAAGACAAAGACCTACACCCAAGATTACTCTATCCAGCAAAGCCATCCTTTAGAATGGAAGGGCAGATAAAGTACTTCCCAGATAAGGTCAAGTTAAAGGAGTTCATCATCACCAAGCCCTTATATGAAATGTTAAAGGGACTTATCTAAGAAAAAGAAGATCAAAAACTATGAACAGTAAAATGACAACAAACTTGCAACTATCAACAACTGAACCTAAAAACAGAAGCAAACTAAGCAAACAACTAGAACAGGAACAGAATCAGAAATGGAAATCGGAGAGGGAGGGGAAAGAGTGGGGGAAAAGGTACAGGGAATAAGAAGCATAAATAGTAGGTTCGAAATGGGCAGGGGGAGGTTAAGAATCGTATCGGAAATGGAGAAGCCAAAGAAATTACACATATGACCCATGGACCTGAACTAGGTGGGTGGGAATACTGGTGGGAGGGGTGGTGCAGGGCGGAGGGGAATAAAGGGAAAAAATGGGACAACTGTAATAGCATATTCAATAAAATATAATTTTTTAAAATATTTATGAAAAATGTAATAAAATATTAAAATATAGTAAAAATAAAATTAAAAAATTTCTGTGTTATTTTTGCCTTTAACTCAAAATCAGTTTCATTTTACTCAAACCCACCATGTCACTGCTAGGCCTTCTCTGAGACGGCTCGGCCACAGCCTTTGCTGTGAGAGCAGCTTGCTGAAGCCTGTGGTGTTGAAGCCGAGGAGAGAAGTACATTTTACTGGGCTCTTGCCAAGGGCCTTAGATTATATTTAAAACCCTAGGAACCAGGGAACACAGCCCCTACTTTGCAAATGAGAAAACTGACTTGTGGAATCATTACACTACTTGCCCAAAGTCAGATCAGTCTGACTTCAGAGCCCATCTGTCCTACCCTATTTCCTAAAAAAAAACAAACAACAAAATCCATTATGTGTGTAAATATTTTATGATTGCGGTTAACAGAAAATGTTCAGATTTTCAGGGTGTGTTCTGAAGCTTAATATAAAAGCATGTAGGTGCTTAGGAATAGAGTGGGAATTTCTAAGGAAAAATAAATTTCATGTTTCAGTCCTGAGGCGGTAGACTTTCATACAAATAGTTCACGTGGCTTTTGTTTTAAAAATTGAACTGGAATGTTTTCCAGGGAAAACAAAAGAGGAAATTACATAAACACATGTCCTCTGAGAACTCGGCTGGGAGATAGACATGTTGTTCTTTGTCAGTCCCTCAGGGCACCACTGCCAAGTTCACTGTCTCATCTACTCTGGCAAGTCAATAACATTCTTTAATTACATGCAGCCCGGATCTCTTTCATTTATTCTGGAGGTTCATAGTCTGAGTTCTAGAAAAGATCGCAGTCATCTGCTTATGTTGATGCAGGGTTTGCCTCCCAGAATCCCCAGGGCAGGTGCAGGCAGGGTCAGTGGGAGAATTCAGCCTGAGATAGCCAGCCGGATGCTTCAGCACCTTCCTAAGGCTGAAGGTCACTGAAGCCATAGTCAGGGAACCCACAAAGGTTTGGTGAATTTTCTGGATTCCTTCTGCAAACTTTGTTTAGTATATTCAGAAATCCTTACTCTCCAATCGGAGAATATAGTGTCCTACAACATTCCAGTTCCTATGTGAGTGAAACTGAACCATGTGCCAATTTATTTTATTTTATTTTAAGAGCATGTTTAGTAAAGCCTGGCAGAGTGAAGCAAGGGAGGACTTGGGATAGAAGAAGCAACAGGAGAGAGCCTAGGTGGGGCTGCTTTGGCTCACTGGAAAGTCAGAGTGAAGGGGACCTTGGAGACAGGCTCAGGGCTTAGCTCAGGACGAGCTGCCGCTGCGCACTGCTCCCCTGGTGGCAGATCTCTCATGCGGTTCCCTACAGTTTAGGAGATGCATGCCTGTGAGGAGAAGATGGGGAAGGGAAAGGCGCGGCAGTGCTCCCAGGAGGGGGAGTGTGCTGACCTCTGTGCCGATTAAAAAATCAGTAACTTTTGAATCGGACTCTAGCTTTTACAGTTCATCAGAACCTGTATACTGATCACAGCCCCCTTTTGCTTATACTTTGGCATTATCATTAAGAAAGTGTGTGTTGTCTTGGGGCATAACATTAATAGCAACAAGTATTGGATTTTAAATACATTAGCCCACTTAATTGGCAAAATAGCTTTGTGAAGTCAAGATTAACCCTGAAGCCTGGGGAAGCTGCATGGTTGCAACCATGTCTCAACACAGTGAACGAGAGTTGGGGTCAGAGCCAGTCAGCCCAGCTCCGAAGGCCTCACCTGGGTACAGGTACACTGGTCAGAGCTTCCAAGCAAGGGCTCCAGATTCAGGAAGCAGGTCGGGATTGCTTATTAGACTGTTAAACCTTCCTTTTCTTACATGTTGGCTTACACTTCAGTCCAAAGTGGCTGCGGGGAACAAAGAGGTGACCTGAACTGAGAAGGGTATCACTGTCCATTTAAATGTCTCCACGTACAGATCCGATTATTCCAGGATATGTAAGCTTCCTCTGCCTTGGGTGTTATTTCAGGAGGACAGTTGGAGTATCCTGTGGTGATGCATTATGCAAGGAAATTGAGAGCAGCTAATGTTTGGGGTTTGTTTTTTGTTTTCTTTTTGTAGGACCTGATATTTGTGGATTTGATATCAACAAAGTTCATGTTATTTTACATTTCAAGAATCAATATCATGCAAACAAGAAACCTATCAGGTGTAAGGTAAATGATTTTGTATGCAAATCAGTGATTGTGTTAACTCTTGTCAGATGATAACATAAGTTTGGAGCAAAGAGTTTTTATCTTAAAATATTTGAATGGGCCAGGGATGGGTCTTGGCGAACATACCTCTCTCCCCATTTTCCAATTTAGCAGGCCCATTAGAGACGCTTGTCCACTCCTTTGGTTCGGCTTCTGGAGTTTTTCTGTATCAGGAGGGCACACTCACTTTTCACTTCTTATTGTGAGCGATGACACCCATTTATAATTTGCCTCATCAGAGTTACAACAGGATGGTCACGTTTTAGCTATTCCCATCATCACTAAGGAATGAAATATTCTTGGTCTCATTCATTAGTTCTTGAAAACCAACCTGAAGAAATTAATCTTCGAAATACAAAAACATTTAAAGATAGGAATATGTCTAGAAGCATGCACTCTTACCTGTTTAACCAGGATATCTGTGAAAATGACTCCCTAGGTCTTAGGACTCACTTGATATAACTCAGTGGCCCTGCCTGGGGCTTCCCCAAAGAGGCAGCCTGTGTTGAGTCCCTGGCATGAGGGCCTATGGAGGGGAGGTATGTTCCCAATGCCCCCCCTCATTTGACTGTAAGCACCAGGAAGCAGGGACTTGTCCCCGAGGTGTCCCCAGGACCCAGAGCTCTGACATGAGAGGCCTCTGTGAATCTGGGTGAATTTGGGCGGGAGGCCCCAGTGTGTTTCAAGACCATTGAGAGTATGCAGTGGAAGCCCCTGTAACTGTCACTTGTTCATTCCTAACCCAAGCAGGGGACAATAGACCTCTGCACAAAACCCCCGCGTGTCTCCCTTGGTAGCACAGTCACTCTTGGCGTCCCACTTTCTGATGTTGTGGGTCCCTTGGACTGTGAGCTCCCCTCACCCCGTGCACACCTTGACCTGACAACCCTTCTGCGGGGCGATGGGAAGCCCACAGTCCAAGTCTTCCTCCCCCGACAGTGTTGGAACCAAAGGGCAGGTCTTTACAACTGATTCCCAAGAAATTGCTCTGTTTTGCACGTCACTGTGGAGGCTGTGAGATCCAGCCTGGACCAGCCCCGGCGGCCAAAGCGTGACCGCCTGGGGTCAACAAGCCTCCAGGGCCCTGAGAGACACTCGCAGTGTGATGGCTCCCTCCGATGCTGTCCGACGTTTCTGCGGCCTGTTAGAAAAATAAGACACATCTGCAGAAGGAGCACCGATTCGCAGCAGCCAGTCGGCATTCTGGTCTTCCCGGGGAGGGGCGCCATTGTTTTCACGGGGGTTCTGATTCCCTCTGTGATCCTGGAAAGAAAGGGCGAGACCCCTCCGCAGGCAGTGAACCCTCAAGGGGTCTGATCTGCATGTTAAAAAAGTAGCTCAGACGTTCTGGAGAGGGTGGGTGGAGGGGCAGGGTGGTCAACAGGCAGGGAGACGGGTGAGACTGTCAGGCCGAGGCCCTGGTGGAATGCAGACCACGGGAGCGTTTTGACATAATTCAGGAGTGGGGTTCAGAGCACTTGGTGATGTCTGGAACGTGCAGACCAAGAATGTGGATGATGACTCTGCGGCATGGCTGTTAATCAGGAGGGAAAACAAAGGCCAAGCAGGGGACCAGGGCGGACTGGGGAGTTGTGTGTGAACAGTTGGGTGTGAAATCCTGGCAGACATCCAGGTAGAGGTGTCAATAAGCTATTGGAAGCTGGCGTCTGAAGCTCAGGCTGATGGTTGGGATTAAGATGCCTTTTCATGCCGTTTGCGTATGTGTGGGAGTGGAGGGGATCCCCAGGAGGCTCTGCTCTGGTAGCCAAATCGTGGGGGTCCCCAGCAATGGGGCTAGGGAGCCTAAAGTCTAAAGTCTAAATTAGGAAAGGGGGTTGAAAGGCCAACGGAGAGCAGGGGGAGAGCATTGAGAGAAGCGGGTGCTCAGGTGTCACACACTCACTTTGGGGACTGTAGTGTTGACCCCAGACAGAGCCATTTGTTACTGTGTGGACAGCAGTGGCCTGTCCAGCAGGGCAGAACAGACGGGAACTGAAGAGGCCTTCAGCTTCGGCTCTTGGCAGAGAGAGCATCCTCCTGACACAGACCCAGACCCTGTAAGATGCTGGGGCGGTGGCTCCTAAACCTGGGCAGTGTCAGTGTCCCTGAAGGGCCTGTGAAAGTGACCAGAGATCCACTAGGTTCTGACGCGGCAGGTTGGGGTGCACCTGGGGGCACGTTGCTGATGCTGTCGGGCCGCCCTTTGAGAACCCCTGCCAGAGTATGTGCTGCAGGAGTCCCCTCCACTGCTGACATGTCACCCCCAGCCTCCCCAGGCCCCTGCCAGCCACCTCCCACTTTTCTTTAATTGTGTCTTTGTTAAATGCTTCCCTTGTGTCTGGCCCAGGGCTTTAACTGTCACCGAGAGAGACACTGGGCCGGCCCTCCTGGAGCTTCCATTGTTGGACAGCTCAGAGCATCAGGAGGTTCTCGCCTATGTTAGAGCGTGGGCTTCATTTGAAATCTTTCAGAGTATAGGACAGGAAATTGTTTTACACATAACTTTTCATAAACAGCTCCATTGTCCCATGGTTTTTACCAACCTCCCCATCGGAGCTGCCTGTGGGATTATAGTGGGAGCCATACTTTGCACAAGGCGGAACCAGCCAGTTGAGAGAAGCCTACCGATAGCACTGCCCTACCAAGGGGCGAGTCTGCTGCAGGACACCCTGTTACAGTCCAGGCAACCCCTGTTCCTAGAGCCGCCCTTCTTGCTGTTGATAACAAGTCTTTTTGACTGATGATAACTTAAACTGCATGTTTAGACGTGCCTCAAGACATCTCTTTGTTATCCTTTTTCTCCCCTAAAATGTGCAGGTTGATGGCTTTACACACCTCTACACTCTGATCTTAAGACCAGATCTCACTTACGGGGTGAAAATTGACGGCCAAATGATTGAATCCGGCAGCATTGAGTATGACTGGAACTTAACGTCATTGAAGAAGACAGAGAAGTCTTCAGCAGAGTCCAAGGAGAAAGAGAACAAACCCCAGGTGCGGATTTTTCCCAGACAACTATAGAAAATGTGCGAGCAACCTTTGTAAGTACAGGGTCCTGTGCGATTGCTGCGTGGCTGGCGGTCTTGATGACGACGTCGCGATGATCAAAATGCTCTCTTGGGCTCGTGAGTGCTGAAACCAGCCGCAGGTCTGCCTGCCTCGAGGCATCGTGACAGGTTTGTAGTCCCGGAGATCAGAGTGAGTAGCGTCTCTTCTTTTTAACCAAGGTTACATGCGTCAGCAACCTTTTAAAAATGAAAATTTTTTTTGTTATCCTGCTTTTGAAGGTGAAGTATTTTTGGAGCCTCCCTCACACTTGTGACTGATGGCCAAGATCAGTGAACCCAACAGTTGTGTGCGAATTTCCCAGAGCTGCTGTAACAAAGCGCCTGGGAGCGGATGGCTTAAAGGACGGAAGTGTGTGCTCTTCTGGGTCTTCTTGAAGCCAGAGTTAGGAGGCAGTGTGTCAGCAGGGCCACTCTCCCTCTGAAGGCTCTGGGGGACGATCCTTCCTGTGTTCTTCGAGCTGTCTGTTGCCTTCAAGCCTTCCTTGGCTGGTAGACACATCACCCCGACCTCTGGCGTCATCTCCACGTGGTCTTCTCCTCTTCTTGTGTCTCTTCTATCTCTTGTAAAGACATTTATCATTGGATTTAGGGTCCACCTGAATAATCCAGTTGATCTGCCTCAAACAGATTGCATTCCCAGATTCCCAGCTTTAGGACGCAGACAAATCTTTTGGGGAACTACCCACTACAGCTACTTTTCTCTTTTGATCCGAGTTTCTTTATTGTTGTGATGTTTTGTTTTGAACATCGTATGCCGCACCAGAGCCTGAGCCATTTATCTGAAGACAGTTGTCTTTGTCATAACTAGAGTATTGGGCTCATGTTGACAGTTTCTGACAACGTATTAGTTGTATTGCTATCTAATAATCAAATACCTCATCACAGACTGAACATAATTATTAAATCAAAATGTCATCCTGTTCAGACTATTAAATTATTTGGTAATCCTTTTTTTCTATAAGTAATTGAAAGTTAAGTTCCATGAATTTGGAATCCATGGTGTGCAATCAACGAGAATGACTTCAGATTAGGGTAAATCTCCAATCATAAGGTTTTACCATCATATCTCAAGGAAAAAAAAAACAAGCAAACTTTTCACCTCCCTTTCTTACCTTAGAAACAAATAAACAAAAAAAAAGGAGTTTTCACATGGAAAGAGGACTGACTTTAAACAAGGCACAGAATGGCAAAGAAACCCTGTGACCCAACCCCTTCTGCAGCGGTTTGGGTGGAGACGGGTCCCCACAGGGGACTCATCATGCTTTCAGAAGCTCCTCTCGGAACTGGCTGTGTTTTATCCCTATGCTCAGTTGCCTGTGAGCTCCTAACCAAATTGGTTCCTTATGGCATTAGGATCTAGAAACCCACAATTCTACCAGGGAGCCTGCTACTCAGATTGAATTGTAACCATTTTCTGGATCCTAACACAGCAGGGGTTTATCAGTTGCCCTTTGGGGTCTGGGCAAAAGCAGGAGAAGCAACTAACTCCCAAGTATGGATCCTGGAGAAGTTACAGAGTATCATGAAAAAACCAGGAAGTGAAAAACATCTACAATTTCTCAGTTCTGAAAGAAGAAACACCATTGTACATGACTTCGATGCTTTTGTATGTGTTTGTGTGAATATTAATCCATAGCAACTTTTTCTCATCCATTCATTTATTCAACAACTGTTCATTCAATACCTACTATGCCATATACATATGTATACAGACATGTATATATAGGTATACATGTATGTATAAATATGCATATATGTATACTTCTCTATATTATACATAGATGTGTATATAAATATATGTGTATATGTATTATATATGTGTTTTGTATGTGAGTGTTTATCTATAAGAGATTTCAATAATAATTTCTTTTCTCATGCTACCCAGGCGAATGTTGGGACCTTTCTTAGTTGTCCTGCCTCTCCCTGGGATAGTCCATGTGTGACTGCGATGTAGGACAGAGTTAACTAACCACCAGTGAATGTGTGGCCCCCTTTCCCGCCATCACTTTTTGCCCATCGTTTTACCTTTAGCCACTGTTACGAGTTTCCCATGTTGCCAGCTCTCTCAACAGCATGAGGAAAGTGCTGCAGTCACGTGGGTTGGGCCAGGGGGTAGTTAGAACATTCCGCCAGTGCATGGCCCGGAGACCCTTGGTGGGTTCTGGACCCTGAGTGCCTGGCCCTTCCACCACCAAACTGAGCAGCAGATGAGGAAATAGCAACCTGAGTCACAGGCCTGCCCTTGTCTCCTGGTAGCTAAGAATTTCCTTTCTCAAATCTGAAAATCTGGGGGTTTTTTCCTACATGTATTTTAAGGACTGGGAGAAGCATTTTCTGGATGCCAGTGCCAGCAAGCCAAGTGACTGGAACCACGAACTGGATGGGGACTGGCAGGCGCCGATGCTGCAGAAGCCTCCATACCAGGTGCGGGCGCCTTCCTCCTCTGCCGCTCTCGGGCTGCCCCTCCTCTGCTGCATCGCTGGGGACCACACATAGGGTTTGTTGTTGCAGGATGGTCTGAAACCGGAAGGTATAGATAAAGACGTTTGGCTCCATCAAAAGATGAAAAACACCAACTATTTGATGGAATACGACCTCTCAGAATATGAGAACATCGGTGCCATCGGGCTGGAACTTTGGCAGGTCACTGGTTTTTCTTTCTTTCCTTCTTTCTTCCTCTTTCTTTCTTTCTTTCTTTCTTTCTTTCTTTCTTTCTTTCTTTCTTTCTTTCTTTCTTTCTTTTTTGAGAGAGAAATTTGTTATTCCATTTATTATGCCTTCATTGGTTGACCCTTGTATGTTCTCTGACCTGGAATCAACCCGCAACGTTAGCTCATTGGGATGATGCTCTAACTGACTGAGCTACCTGGCCAGGGGAGGTCACTGGATTTTAAATTTGCTTTAGTTTAATAACTCTGAACTTCAGCCTAAACTTCTTCATTCACATCGCTAGTATTCCTTGAGCTCCTGCTTGTGTGCCTGACACCCACACCTGGACCTGAGACATACAACTGTGGCCAAAACAGATGACTTTCCCACTCTCTGGGTACTTTCTGTCTGCCTCCCTGTCCCCTGGGAACTGGTCACTCCTCTGCTCGGAGTTGACCTGTGGGTCCATCAGCTTTAGGACAAGATTGCAGATCCTGATGCAGCAGGCCCAGGGTGGAGCTTGAGGTTCTGTGCTCCCACCAGGCTCCCCAGTGGTGCTGATGCTGCCAGTCCATGGCCTACAAGTTGCACAGTAATGTTCTCAAGCTGCAGTTCTTGAATACTGCTGAGAGTGCAAGCCATCGGGGCACTCTTAAAGCTCAATGCCCGGGCAGCTCCCAGACTACTTAAACCGGTATCCCCGCGGCTGAGACCAGGCAGTTTCAAAAATGTTCTTGGTGATCCCAATAGGCAGTGAGGTTTGAAAACCAGTGCCCTGGAGGGAATGGGCTTTCTAGAAATGGGTTTAAGCACGCACTGCTTCTGAGAGCTAATCACTGCCACAGCATTGAGCAAAAAAAATACAATTGTTTCTTGGGAGAAAGTTGTTACATCTCTCACATCAGTAAGGAAGGCCTTATTTTCATCTGCAGGTGAGATCTGGAACCATCTTCGATAACTTCCTGATCACAGATGATGAAGAGTACGCCGATAATTTTGGCAAGGCCACCTGGGGTGAGACGAAGGTACAATGAACGCACCGAACTTTTCTTTCATTATTTATTTATTTCTGTCCTTGAGTCTAATACATAAGAAAGGGCTGGAGGGCTTGATAAACTCACTCATGAGCACTCCTCCTAGGTCAAGTGGCAGGACGTGGCCAGAGTCCCAGGAGCCTCCTCACCCTGCCTCCCAGACGATACTCTTCCCCCATAGTGACCGCTCTCCCGCCACCGTAGGTCAATTCCACCTCCTTTTGAAAGGCATATACATGGCGCCATCTAATATTTACTCGCTTAGGCAGTATTGTGAGATGCATTTATATTATCATATGCAGCAGTAGCTCATTCCTCCAGCGAGAATATCCCAGAAGATATGTAACTGTTTTCTGTCAATGCAGCTTTGGGTGGCTTCCAGCTTGTGGCCTCATGCATAAGGCTATTACAATCACTCCTGTGTGTGTCTTTCAATGAACACAAGCCCAGGAGTGGATGGGCTGGGTCACAAGTTTCCTGCCAGCCAAACAGGTGTCAGTGTGTCATCCAATTTCACATTCCCTGGATTTCCTCACTTAGGCTCTAAGGCCTCCTTTTATCACCCATTCACTGGTCAGCTGGTTGAAGGACAGGGACCTATGTGCTCTGGGAACAGAAAGAAGGGTGGGGGTGTGTTCATTTCCTGGGGCTGCCAGAACAAATGACCATAAACTGGCTGGCTTAAAACACAAATTTCTTCTCTCGCAGTTCTGGAGGCCAGAAGTCCAAAATCAGTATCAATGGGCTGACATCAAGGTGTCAGCATGGCCACACTCGTCTCAAGGATCTAGGGAGGACCCTCTTCCGGCCTTGTCCAGCTCCTGGTGGCTTCTGCTGTTCCTTGGTTTGGGGCCACATCACTCTAATCCCTGCCTCTGTCTCCATGCGATGCTGGCTTCTCCTCTTCTGCGTGTGCTTCAAATCTCTCTCTTATCAGGACACCTATGATGGCATTTAGGGGCCACCTGATAATCCAGGATAATCTCAACATACCTAATTTAATCCCAGTTGCAAAGACCTTTTCTCCACCTATGGTCACATTGACAGGTTCCAGGGGTTAGGACCTGATGGCCTCAGGGGCTCTTTAGCCCCGGACCTGGAGCGGAGGCTTTCAGAAGGCAGGCGCAGGTTGCACACTCAGGCCCAGCCATCCCCCAGGAAGTGCAGTCCTCGGCCACCCGGCTCTTTGTTTCTTTCCGCAGGGCCCAGAAAGAGAGATGGACGCCATCCAAGCCAAAGAGGAAGCGAAGAGGGCCCGTGAGGAGGATGAGGAGGAGTTCCTGATGAGCAAGTCTGATGGGAAAGCAAACGACTTCAGGAGATTTCACAGGAGGGACGAACTGTAGTCACCCCCATTCCAGATAAAGATGGCTGGTTAACCTTGTTTCTACTTTAACCTACATTTAAAATCTCAAATGTCTACATACGTGGTAATTTGTCCAGTTTGTCCAGTTTTCTTGGAGAAATGTTCCTACGCTTCTCAGTGGTTTCCTTAAGCCCCCACCCCTATGTATGACACGTTTCCCCTGTATAAGCCCGAGTGCTGGAGGCCAGAGGCAGGGGAGAGGCTGGCTAAACACCTGAGGCTCTTTTCTTCTTCTTTTTTTTTTACAAAAAGATTTTATTTATTTTTTATATAGAGAGGGGAAGGGAGGGCGAAAGGGAGGGAAACATTGTAGGTGCCCTGTTCAGAGACTGAACCCGCAACCCAGGCAGGTGCCCTGACTGGAAATCGAACTGCTGACCTTTTGCTTTGCGGGATGATGCCCAACACACTGAGCCACATTGGTTAGGGCCTGATGCTCTTTTCTTAACCCCAGAATGTTTTATATATAAAAATTTGTAAAAGTTATTTTGAAAAAGGGGAAATGATGCCTTATTTTTTCAGTTCATAAATTTCTAATAACATGAGAAAATGTTCCAATATGAAATCTTTTTTAAAAAGATATTTATTTTTTTAGAGAGGGGAGGGAGAAAGAGAGGGAGAGAAACATTGATAGGCTGCCTCTCGCAGGCATCCTGAAGGGGGATAGAACCCGCAGCTTAGTCAAGTGCCCTGACCCAGAATCAAACCTGCGACCTTTTGCTTTGTGGGACAATGCCCAACCAACTAGCCTTGCTGGCCAGGGATTCAGTAGGATATCTTTACACAACACGCTCAGTTTGGAAAGGTTTTGTGTGTTCTGCTGGCATCCTGGTCATTTTGGAGAACCTAGGCCTTGTGCACGGACATGTGAAGTGCCATGAAGGAGCTGATGCTTTCTTTCCTCCTCCTCTGTGACCCACTTCTGTGGCCATTCGTTTTCTGTAAGTCAAAGGAACGAAATTCATTTTCTTAAGTGAAAATAGTGATTACCTCTCAGTTTAATGTTTTTCTTTCAAATCAATTTGCTTCTTTTAAAAATCACACACAGAAGTCTTCTGTTTTGAAGAGACCAGTTTTCATGCAGAAACTTGTGTAGAAATAATCATATTTAGGACACCCAACCTTTGGAATCCAGTGATACTACAAATAAGCTGAATACATTGGAAATTATATATGGAACATTGGTAGATGATCAGTCCATTCAGAAAGTGAAATTCTGGCAAGTTTTGTTTCCACTTTGGCCAAAGTTGGCAGACCTTTGAACTTGGACTTTTCTAGCTGATGCTGCATTGGTCTTCATGATTCATCAGGGGTTGATTATCAGTCTCAGAAACTAAAAACTCCCTTGCTGTGCAGGGGTGGGATTCAAACACTGTCTACCTGTTTCACCTCTGAGAAGTTAGTAAGGGAAGAAGGAGAGCCAGGCCAATGGAGAATATGCTGGAAACAATTGTACAAAGATGGGTGAGACCAGCACAGACCCTCAGAGCATCTCTTGAAGCAGCACTGTCCTGGAGAAATTTCCATGAAGATGGAGATGTCTCCACCTGTGTTGGCCAATACAGTAGCCACCAGCTGCATGTGAACTCTTGAGATGGAGCTGGTGGGACTGAGGAATGAATTTTTAAAAAATTAATAAATGTTTTATAGGGCAGTTTGAGGTTCACAGTAAAACTGAAGTGAAAAGTAGAGAGAATTCACCTATATCCTGTCCCCAAATCTGTGTAACTTCCCCTACCAATGACATGTTCCACCATGTCAAGTGTTCCACCATGGCACACTTGTCACAGTGATGAATGACATTTCACCCAAATGTCAATAGTTTGCATTGGGGTTCACTCCTGGTGTACATTCTGGTCATGGGGGACCAGGTGAGGATGGGGGGTAACCTGTCCTGAAGAAAGCTTGGGCCACTTTGGTCAGCTGCCTGGATGGCCCTTTCTTCCTCTCACCTTGTTAGTGGAAACCCGCCACAGATGAGTGGGTGTCCATAGCCAATGGAAGGCAAAAAGTGTTGTTAAACAAAATTTTTAACTTCCAAAGCTGAAAGTCTTTTTGAAAGAAAGGGTCTATTGGGCCATTGCTAGCAAGAAAAAGTAGACAGGTCCTGGGCCATGGAGTCTAAACCACTAGCTGCAGTGACAGGTGGGAAAGGCAACATGTCCACTGTCCTGGACTGGGTAAGTGTTTTTTACACATCAAGTAGTGGGGAGAAAATATAAGTTGTTTTGAAAAAATTTACCTTGGCTATAGGTAAAGGAGGTGGGAGAAGGTGAGGCAAGCTCATTCTGGAATAGGTACAGAGTCCGTAGGTAATAGTGGGCAAGCCCTGAAAGTTCTTGTGTAAACAAGGAGCAAAGGCTCCTGGGGTTCGAAGTCGCCTTGGCTGTTCTTTTAGATAATTGCAGAAATAGCTACCTCGAAGTTCCAAGTACATTCAGGTGTGTAAGCGGTCTTGCCAGCTGGCCCCCAGCTGTAACAGCCTGGTTTTTTTTTTCCCTCTCTCACTCTCCCGTCTGCTGTAATTTAACTTAGATCACCTCAGAAATTTTATCAGTGTCTAAATAAATGCCGCTCCGGAATGGTCCTCCAGCAAACATCAGGTGCCTGTTCCATGCTAGGCACAGTGCGAGGCAGACCTGGAACAACACCAAACACATTATTATTATTCCCTCTTTTCAGAAGAGGAGCTTAGAGGCCAGAGAGGCTACTTAAGTGGCTTGCCAAAGTCACAGAGCTGGAAAGCGGAGGCAGGGAACTGACCGAGGGCGTTGTGGGTGCTGCTGCAGCACAGACAGGTTGTGTCGCAACCCAGTTCAGCCAAAGCCCTAAAACGGCAGACGCAGATTCGAACACAAACAGGTATCTCAGGACACAGGGCACCATGTGGGGCAGGGCGAGGGTCTCGATCCTCTTGCAGGGTGGTCAGAGGATCCCCATAATATATTTGCCAGGCTCACGGGGAGGCGACCGGAATCCCTAGCATAGGGCCCGGCATCAGCAAGAACCTGGAGTAATGAAGCAGGGAAAGTCGGGGAGACGTCCGCAGGGATGTGAGGCACAGTCCATACCGGTTAGGGCTCGCTAACCCTGCGCGCTCCCACGGCCCCGCCCCCCCGCAGCCTGGTCCGGACGCGCGTGACGCCACCTTCAACTCCACCCCTGTAGGCAGAGCTACGCGTGCGCAGCCCTGCTTCGGTCTCGCCCACTCCAGGCCCAGCTGCGCGCGCACCTCTCCCGGCACTAGTACGCACGCGCGGTCCCGCCCCCGCCCCCCGGCGCTCGGAGCCCGAGTCCGTGGGAAGATGGCGGCGCCGCTCCTCCCGCTCTCTCAGCAGGTACTGGCCGGGAGGACTGGCGGGGGCGCGGTGCCGGGGCGCGAGGTGGACGCCGCGGGGAGGCCGAGGGGCGGGGGCATCTTGCTGAGAGGCGGCGGCTCGCGCTGAGCGGCCCTGGCAGAGGACGCGCGAGGGGGCGGGCTGTTCTGAAGGTGACAGGCCGGCTCCGGGCCTCCTGCGCCCCAGCGACCCTCGGCGTGGGGCGACCAGGCGGGCCCGCGGCGCGTATCTGCTGGGCCTGGGGTCCAGACCCGTCAGTCGTCCGCCACAGCTCCCAGGCCGGGCGAGGCACGGTGGCTTTGCACTCCCTTCCGGGGAGGTGGGCGAGGAAAGCGAGCATCTGTGCCGGTGCGGCGGCCCCACGAGTCTTTGTCTCCTGTCCGTTCCCAGCTCCGGGGCGGACAGTGTCCCCCGCGAGGTGGAGGGCAGAGCCACACCGGAGCCAGGACCTGTCAATAGCGGGATCCTGGACTCATCTCTCCCTCCCTTGGGAGCTGCTTTGGCCACACCAGAGCCGTGAAAGGGGGATCGCAGCTCTCCAGGCGTCTTTCTGTGTCCTCCTGTCCGCCTGAGGCTCTTTCTAAGGGACAGTAACTGTGGAAAAAAGAGCCATGCGCAAGCAGCCCTGCTTTCTGGGAGGGACATTCATTCATTTATTCTTACGTCCGATGTGCGTTGGGCCAGGTGCTGGGAGCGCAGCAGTCACCCAGACTGACAAGGTCGCTGCTCCCCTGGAGGTGACACTTCGGTGGGAACTAGAAACTACCTGTGTCCTGGTAATAACAGCTGCCTTTATTTGCTGAGTAATCTGTGTTCTATTTGCTGTAGTACCGTATTATAGCCATTTTGGAAGAATTAGTAAGGAATTAAGAGTCAGGACACAGGGTCACATCATCTTGTGTTCAAATCTTGGTTCCAGCAGTTACTCCCTCTGAGTGTCCTTAGATGAAGCTCTTAGCCTCTCCACACTTCAGTCACCTCATTTGGAAAATAGGAAAGAAAATACTGAGAAAATGTGAAGATAAAGCCTGTAAAGCCCTCAGAACAGTGCCTGACACATCAGAAGCACTGAGTGATACTATAATTATCATCCTTTAATTCTCCGGCAGATTTGGACATGTGGGAATAGAGACCACAGCAGTAAGCATGCCAAACCCTAGGAGAGCCGATGGGCAGGTTGACATGAGTGGTCAGCCTTTCCAAGGAGAGAGACCTGCATACCTACTAAACCTTGCAAGAACTAGCCAATTTGTAACTGTCATTAAATTGAAAGCATTAAAAGCCAGTGGTTACTAATTAACAAGTTCTTGTAACAGATATGAAAGCTGCTCTGTAAACTAAGTGGCCTACAGATGTTGGGTATTATTATTAGTAGTCAATTGCAGTTTAGGATGTTAGGATTGAAATTTAGGCTTATTTAATGAGAAGGTGCTTCTTTTTTTTTAAGATTTTAGATTTTTAGAGAGGGAGAAGGGAGGAAGAAAGAGAGGGAAACATCCATCAGTCACCTCCAGCAGTGTGCCCCGACAGGACACTGAACCCGCAACCCAGGCATGTGCCCTGACTGGGAATCGAACTGTAGATCTTTTACTTTGCAAGACAACACTCAACCAGCTGAGCCACACTGGTCAGGGCAAAGCACTTCTGTTTTTTGAGGGGCGTCTTTTAAAATTTCCTATCAAATTTTTCCACTAGCCTTAATTTGAACTTTGATGACAATAGTTAACATTTATTGAGTGCTTTATTTATTTTTTAATCCTCACCCAAGAATGTTTTCATTGATTTTAGATAGGAAGAGAGAGAGAGAGAGAGAGAGAGAGAGAAACATCGATGTGAGAGAAAAAACAAAACAAAACACCAATTGATTTCCTCAAGTACATGCTCCACGTGTGCCCTGACCGGGAATCGAACTGGCAGCCTTTTGGTGTATAGGACAACGCTCCAGCCAGCTGAGCCATGGGGTCAGGACAGAGTGCTCTAGAGTTTATTAAGGGCTTTCTAACATGTTGGTGCTTATCAGCACAACAAAGAGGGGGTTCTTATTTTACTGATAAAGGGTTAGCTTTAGAAGAAGGCAGTGACTTCCTGCTGTGAAGTAAGGTATGAAAGCCTGAATCAGGTCAGTCAGGCTATGTACCTTTTAGAATAGAATCCCAGTTTCTCCCCAGGAAGCTCTGCTGGTGTCTGCTGGCCTCTCTCGCCTGCTGTCTCTGGCACCCACACTGCAGTCATACTTCATACTTGCTGCTTTTCGGTTCCTCTTTCCTCAGGGTGTCTCCACAGATAGTTCCTTCTTCCTGAAGTGCTCTTCCCTGCTTCTTCCTTTGATCTTCCAATTCCTGGCTTCTTTCCTTTCTTCAGGTGGCAGCTCAAATGTCATTTTTTCCAGAGTCCTCTCCTGGTCACCTGTCTTAAGACCTCTTGATCCTGGGTGCTGGGCATGGGTTCAGGGGCATGCGATCAAGAAGCCTGTGCTTGCTCTTATTGGGTGCTCAGTCTACTGGGGAGACAGATGGCAGACAGACCCACAGACGCCTGTGGGCTGTGATTGATGCTGAGGGGTTCTGTTAGGAAGACACACTGCTGGGGGGGCTCTACTTATGACAGGTGACTTGAAGTAGGGACCGGCTACCTGCACTGCCCAGTGCTGTTCACCGGTGGCTTCTCTGTGTGTGGCATGGGTGCTGGGAGCAAAATTGAACAAGGGTTTGTAAGAGACTGACAGCCTGGATCCTCTGACCTCTGACAAGTTCAGGGCATGGCCAGGTCACAGAAAACCATGGCCAGGTTTTCTTCCTTTGGGTAATCATGTCATCGTTACTCTATACCTGTACTTAAATGAGCACTGCACCAGGTTGTCCTGTCGACCCAGGTGTGAGGCACAGTCCTTCCAGGCGCTTCCATTCTGGCTGAGAAGATCCTGCGGTTAATGGATAATTACAGGGGAGTGATGGATGTGATTCCAGGGTAGTTCCTGGTTGGGGCAGTGGGGATCCCCTGGTGGAGGAGGCTCTGATCTGGTTGGACTGAGGTGTAAGGCACACTTGGGACGTGGGTGGCCAGTTGAAGGTGAGTAAGGTGGTTCAGCTAGTGGTTTTGTAGAGGAGCGGGGAGCGTCCTCTGCCAGGGCCGCTCAGCGTGAGCCACCGCCTCTCAGCAAGATGCCCCCGCCCCTCTGCCCCCAGCACTGCCTGTGCTTTTCCCGTCGGAGCTTTCCTGGTCTGTTCCCTACTTTCTGATATCTTTATGCTGTCTCCTTCTCCCCACCCTGAATGTAGGTCTTGTTAGTTTGAAGAGTCTGTAGTTCTTCCTCTAGGAATGGGTTTTTCCCCCCTCTCCATCAGCATCTCATTGATTTACGTTTGTCTCTGCACAGTTTTCCTTTGCCTCACCCACACCAGAAACACACCTGTGTTACCCTTTTGTACCATACGTTCTCATTGGTTACCAGCGATGTTGCCATCCTTAACTTCAGTGGCCATTGTTGGGGCTGGTCCTCCTTGAAACAGTTGTCACTGTAGTCCACCCATGGGCCTTCACACTCTCTTCTACCCCCAAATGTCAGCCTTCTCCACCTGCATCCTTTCTTTCTGTGGTCCGTCTTTGGCATGGTCTCTGGTGTGTTCATGCACCACACTCTAAATCGGCTGTCCCCCATCTTCTGGAGCCTAACCCTGTTTCCCCTTTGCTCCTGCCGGCCTGCTGGACATCCTTACCATGCCCACTAGTTCATGAGCTAGGGCTGTTCCACTTCCTGCTGAGCCTCTCCTTCCTAGTTCAGGCGGGATTCATCTTCTAAAATGGATCCTCAACCACCTGCCTGCTCCAGAAACCTCTAGCAGCTTTCACTCCGCTCCTTCCAGTATGTCCAGGTAGATTGCTTCTGGCCTGGCATCCCCATGCCCCCTGCTCCCGCTCCACCACACCTTGTGGGCTTGCTCTCCCGCTCTTCCATTGTCTCCACGCAAACTTCTTGCTCTTTTCAGTGCTTTCCCCAGGCCCCAAGGCTCTCTTAGTGGAACCTCATGCTGTGACCTCCTGCTACATCCTACTTGCTCAGCTGTTCTCAGAGGCCTCTTTGGTGGTAACTTTCCTCAAGCCCACCTAAATGAGAGCTCTCCCTCCAGTCCATCCGGTGGGTCCCTTGTGTTGCCCTTGGACCTAGGAAGTTCATGGCAACTGGAGGAAAGCACTGGACTCATTGGTAAGGAGAGTCTTCCCTGTGCCCAGAGGGTTCCATCTCTCCCCCCTATCCACTCCAGACCACTGGGGTCCTCCCTGCTCTATCATCTGCTTCCTTTCCCATTTTGCAAATGGGAAACAAACTCATAGAGATTGTAGTAACTTGCTGAAGTCCCATAGCTGGTGGATGGAGAGCTGGGGTTGACCCACATCCATCTGCCTGAGAAAGCCTGCTCTTTCCACTCTTCCAGGGAGCCGGCTGGGCACTCTGCCCAGACAACACCCGGCCAGTGTGTCTGGAATGAATGCTGATCGCTTGGGACACTTGTCTGTCCTTTCGTCCCTTGTTTTTTCCTCTAAAATAATTGCTAGTCTGTATCTTACTAGAATGCTAATGGTGATGCGGCATAAATTGGTGGGGAGAGAGCCAGGATTGAAAGCAAAGTTTGGCCCCGCCCTGTAAGATGCAGAATTCCTCGGCTGTCTCTGTCTGATTGACCTGCATTCGCCTGTTTTTTGTTAACTAAGTAGTTCCAGATCAAGCAAGAACATGTTAGTTTCACCCCC